CAACTCTAGCAATCCCATGATTTGTTTTGTTAAACTTTCACATCTATTCCACATGTTGAGATAAACTGTAAAACATATTCAAGCAGAAGGACACTCATACCTAAGCTAAGGCCCAACACTTCCCTCATGAAACCACTTCTTAAATTATTATAATCAAACACTTATAGATATCAGTCCCCTAAACATGTCAGATTTGTTTTTTCTGAGAAAAATAAAATCCTTGATCCGCCACTTGATGTGAATCCTCGTGAACCACACTGCATCCTTCCACCAAGTGTCCAGGTAATCCATCCGGGAGTCTTGTGTAATATTGCTCACAAAACCATCAAACAGACGGACGGGGGGGAAAGCATAACCTCCCTGGCGGATGTAACCTGCAGGTGATGACAGGTCAGCATGCGTTCTCTTTCACAGTGTGACGTCCGTGTGACCGGATGAAGGTAGACGCACCCTGGCGTCCCTCATTCCTGAGCTCTTTGTGTTTGACCTTCTAGTGTCTCCGTGTCTCCCCCTCTCACACACAGCATCGATTTCTTCTCCAGTTAAGCTTTTATTGCTGATGATGGGTCAGTGGGGGTTGTTCGTTATTCGGTACTATGCGCCCCCCGCCTCCCACACCTAACATTCACCATCCGGACATCAATATTCCCATGACCCTTTAAAAAAAACAACCTCACTACTCAGCCACAGGCCAGGCCAGACTAATGCGACTTTGCATAATCAATATCTTAGATTTTCCCTTTTTTGTCTTTTAGTGGAAAAAGTCTGTGTAGTGATCTGGGTCTGAGCTCCTTCTAACCACCACCCACCGCCCACTCACCCGCCTGCTCCACGCCTTGAATGCCTCCTCTCAGCTGGGGCCGTCTGCACTGGAGGAAGCCGATTGAGAATCAATAGCGGCGCTCGCTGTTGCTCGGCGGCTGAAAAGGACAACAGACAAGGACATCTCGACAAATGAAGATAATTCAGCTGTCCTGTCTTATCTGTTTGTTCCTGTCTCTTTATCTAATTTGGCAGTGGAAGAACACACACAGAGAACACAATAGAGCACTTTCATTGGCACAGGCCTGCAGCACAAGAGGCCGGTCGAGCGTTTTTTGTCTCCGCCGGGCGTGAGAGATTTCAAGCTTCTCTGCCAGCAATGACCTTTCTGGAAAATGATTTTCTTTTTTTTCTTTTTGATTTCTATTGAGGCCAGGCAGGCAGCGAGCGGCTTATGAGATGTCGCCCTTCACTAGGTTCAGCTGAGAGGTTTGGTCACCTGTGACTTGACTGACAGATAGTGACAGCCCATGGGGACCCAGGAGGCAGACGAGGGAGAGAAAGAGAGAGATGACTGTCTGCTGCTTTGGAGGATCTTTCTTTTCTTCTCTTCTCTTTCAGTTTTTTTGTGCTGTGTGAGTGTGTGTGTTTGTGTGTGTGCGAGAGAGAGATGCACCACCCCATTGAGTGGGAGGGAGTTTCAAAGCACCTGCAGAGGAGAGATGAGCTGCTCAGATAAGCAGTGCAGGTGAGAGAGCTAATCCTGCCGTTACGCCTGGCAGGCACACAACACGATTGAGATTTCATAACTGTCTGGCAACACCAGAGGCATGCTTATTGAATTTTTCTTCTCCGGTGCTTAATATCGCAGCCGTGGTCAATACTGTGCACAACTGACTCTCTGGTAAAAGCTGTATGAAGATATTGAACCGAGGAATACACACACTGCTCTGAATAATCATCCACAGATTCTTCTGATATTTATGAATAATTCCCCGAAATCCAAGCAATGGATGTTGTCAGTAACAGCGACACAAAATCAAACCCATTGTTTCGGATGAAGCTGATACTGACACTTGATATTTTGCAGGCAATAACTACAGGCTGACCTCCACACACTGACCCCCCCCTCCCTCTGTGCTGTGCCAGCTGTGCTTTGGGCACACTGAACCCTATTCTGGGTAACATGATCCCGGCCGGGGTGGCAATCACAGCGGAGGAGCATCTGCTGTGGGACTGTGGACGCAGGACAACTGCGTCCCAGTCACATGTTATTATGTATGATGAGCAACAAATCTGTGTAGCAGTGGACAGCCATGTCTCCTGGAACGCCAGCCTTTACTCCTCACACTGCTGACACAGTTGAATATTAGAAATCAATACAGTTTGCGTGGGTGTAAGCTCTTCCATCTGGTTAGTGCAGATTCTCAACCTAATGGATTGGGTCTAACTTTTACTGCTTGTCAGCATATTTTGCAGGGCTAATAAAACTCCAGTATGTCATTGTAGTCTTGGAATGGTCCCATGTATCTTTTTTTCACTGCAGCTTGTTTTTCATCTTCTCCCTCTGCCTCGGTCCACGGATATTTCTCCAGATTCCTCTCATGCCAGAGTCATTTGGCACCTCTCCTCTCCTCAGTCGCTGGTCGAACTCCTGATCTTATCCCTCGCAACACACCCTGGAATCCGCCTCCGTCTATAACAGACACATACACTTTCGTCCTGTGCCAGTGTGAGCTCCCATCTGCTGTCCTGGCACCACACACACACATGCACACATAGACACACACACACGTAGATTAACTATCTCGTCTCACTGCCCGTTGCTGTTGGCCAGATCCGGAGCTCATCCGTGAACACATGCAACCGTACAGGCATTTTATGGGCAGCTCTGTTTTGGACATCTGATGGAGAGAGGTCAGACAGAGATCAGGAGCCTCTCAGGAGACAGATCAAGCTGCCAGGTCAGAACTTCCAGGTCCATTCAGGTGATGAAGCCACTTCTTTTATACTCTAATTTGTCTCAGACACAGAGGGGGTGCAGGAATAAAAACATATGAAGTGTCTCTACATCAGTTGGCTCCAAGTCCCTCTCAGGTAAGACAAAAGATCCAAAAAGGACTTTGCCAGCACAACTCTACCCACAATCCATTGCAGCTGCTCACCCACCAGCCCCGTGAGGACGTGATAGATTGGACCACACTCCAGCAGCTGGGCTGGAGGTTTACACAGGAAGTAGCAAACAAATTTAATTGTTTTCTTTCTCTCCGCACCCAAAAAGGCTTATGATTAATTATTCAGCCGTTGCCGTCCCTGAGGTGAAAAGCAGCATCTGTCATTTATTTTAAAGCAGACCAACACGCGGGGAATCAAGTCACAAACACATTAGGGTCTCGTGTTTCCATTCGATAGTCTTAGCACACCTGCTGTTGACAAAATAAGAGGATGAAAACGTCTCGAGGAAAATCTCTCGCCGTCTCCTGCGGGAGCTCTGAAAATGCACTGCTCAAAATTAGCTCTTTGTGTCTCGTCTGCACCTGGAGAGCAGGTATCAGTTCACTGAGGACACACACACACACACACACACACTTGTCTCTCTGTAGTTGTGAGGACACATTGAAATGTGTTCACTAGACCCTTACCCCGTAACTAAACCATCACAACTGAATGCCTAATCCTAACCCTAACCTGATTCTAACTTAAAACCAAGTCTTAACCCTCAACCAGTCCTTTGAGTTTGTGAGGATCAGCCGAAATGTCCCCACAATGATGTTATTGAACCAAAATGTGCCCTCATAACTCTCTCTCTCACACACACACACACACACACACACACACACACACACACAATGTTCACACAACTCTCCTCAAATCATTTACTAGTAGTGCTTTGAATTGTCTGTTCCCAGATGTTGTCACATTAATGTTATAACAGAGCTGGTTTTAACAGGATTTGTTTAAAATATCTGTAATTTTTACATTATCTGACTTATTCTCTTTCTCTTTCTGTCTGATTCTGCAGCACAGTCTTCAAAGTTCATGTAAAAGGCAGATGTAAGAATTTGTTGAAAGCGGTAGACTGTGAGGATAGATTCACTAATCAAGTCTTTTTTTTTTTTGCTCAGCTGTGGTGGGGGATGGATGCAAAGAAATGGCGTTTCACACTCAACAGGCTGCAGCTTTGTAAGACCCACACTTCATTTGACTGATCAGTGGAATTCATTTTCAACACAGAATAAAGATGGTGGATTTGTGTCATTACAAATGCATTAGGAAGGGATAACTTCACACAACCAGTGGGGAGAGGAGAGTCTCAGTGTAGACACAGGCATAGAAGGGAAATGTGTTCATTGATTCACACAGTAAATATAAAGCTAGAGCAAACTGTTAGCTTAGTGAAGACAGGAAACATGGTTAGCTCTGCAAACTACCAGTTTGAGACAGTTTAAAAATGTGAATTCTTCATTTACCACCACCGAGTGCTACATTATTGAACTTATGGTTTTTAGAGTTTGCATAAATGACAGCTTACGTTTTACCTACGCCTGGTTGTAACCTCAGCTCCTCAGTATAGCCCTAACAGAAAATGTGAAATGGTGACTGTTCATCATTTCACATTTTCTGTTAGGGCTCCCACAGTTTAGAACAATCTCACTGAGGAGCCTTCTCAGGACTTGGGGCCTGAAATCACCTTGAATTTATAATTCTTATGTATTCATCTATATTCTTTTAATATAGCTCCGACCACACCGCCTGTTTTAATCATTATATTTTATTTTAGTTTGTTGGTACTCTTTTCTCATCTGTAACATTTCCATTCTTGTTTTCTATTGTTTATCTTCAATTCTTCATTTTTATCATGGGTAGCACCTTTTAACTGTTCTGAATGTTTGCAATGTAAATAAAGTTTTTATAGTTATTATGACTGTGGCTATATAATGGTTGTCTGGAAAGCTACAATTTGCAATAAAGACCGCACAATTACTTATTTGTACAACTACATTTATTTAAAAAAACAAAGCAAAAATTAGAACCAAAAAAAAAAAAGCCACCAGTGTCCCACCAGGGATGAGACAGTTTATGGAGAGAGACATTTTTAAAAGCATACAAACCAGCAAACTGTAATCTAGCAGCATCCAAATGTTGGAACCTCCAAAAAAATTCATCATTTATATATTTAAATATATATATTTTTTTGCCCTGGCAAGCTACACACTTTACAACATACACAGAGCTTTATCTCTCCTTAGTGCAGAAAAAAAAACTCAAAACAAAAACCTTTTAATAAAATAAACAACTTTAGGTTAAATAAGCTTAAATAATAGTGTTAAATACAAGACACTTCTGTGGCAGATATGTACAGAAATAAACACATTTGGCATTGTAAGTGTGGTTCACTGGCGCCTGCTCTAATGCTCTAGAAACCACTGCATAAGAACACATTTTGCTGTGAAACTAAACCCCCAACACACACACACACACACACACATGCAAACACACACACATCATCATCATCCACACACAGGATTTTATATCAGTGAGCCACAGACAAGGCTTGTGTTTAGAAAAGACGACTAAAAGCAAAGAGAAACAATCCATTTACAACCGAGAATTTTAGGCACAGTTTTATAAATACATGTCAAATACAACTGCTTCTCAACAGGAACTCTTCACGTTTGTGCTAACTTCTTTTTTTTTTTTAAAACACAGTTTTGAAACTACCACTTTTGTTATTGCTAGGACATTGTGACAGTGAATGGAAAAAACTACAGACAAACGCGCGTGTGTGTATATGTGTGTGTAGGGAAAAGCACCTTGAAACATCAAAATTACTGCCGTGTGACCCTACGATACGACACTGAGGACAAAGAAAAAGTGGAATTAATTCAACGAAAAGCAAAACATCAAACCTTGAAACTTTTTTGTGACTTCCAGAGAAAATAAAAGGGTCTCATTTGAGCTACATTCATGTTTCCCCCCCACAACCACGGTACGTTTCAAGACCCGACTCATGTGGATTCCTCTTGGTGCAAGCAGACAGTAAGTACCACTTCATTATGTCCAGTACATTCCTCCCCCTCCTCACCCGCTCTACTTTTCCTGTGTCCATGAAGGCCGGCACAGAAACAGCTGTGTGACAGTGTGCGCAGTATGATACAGTACAGCTGAGAATACAGTACAGTAGACTGACGTGACATACGTAGGTAGATTATATGTTGACTACAGTAAATGAGCTTTACATTCCACTACTGTAAGAAGATCTCGGGGACTCGGGCTGGGGGGCCCCTTGGGGTTCGCCGTTCTCTATTCCTCCTTCCAGCACCGGATATGAGGACGCTTCCCGAGAGTCCTATTTGCCAGCACAGAGAAACCGTTAACGCAAGAAACAGCCCCGCACAGCAGACAAGAGGACGATCCCAAAGCTAAAGGTTCAGATCAGGGTTTCAAGTCACTCCACACACGGCTGCACGACAGTCTCCTAAAGCCATTTATTTTAAAGAGTCTTAATTTCTCTAGGGGCCTGTAAAGGTTTGTTTTAAAGTTTGTTTGCCTGTGGATCATCTGGGAGTCTTAAGTAGGAGTTGAGTGGGAGTGAAGGCCATCTTGCTCTCTCTTGTTCTCTTTCTGCAGGTCTCTCTCTCTCTATCTCTCTCTCTCTCTCTCCATCCCTCTCAGGGTTTCTTGTCGATGGAGTGAAAGAACCACTCTGTGAACTTCCTGAGCTGAGCCGCCGCCGTCAAGCTCTCCTCCTGCAGCCGCATGTTATCCTGTCTCAGGTGTTGCACCTCCTCCTGCAACATCGCCTTGTCCTCTTTCTCCTGAACACACCAACACAAACACACAATCAGCACCGGGACACGGAGCAAAACTAAATGCGTTAACTTTCGTCAGTGCTGTGTAAACGGGGGGCGTTAACATAGCAAAGCGGCCTTTTCTTTGTCCTGATAAAAGTGCATTTCCTCTCTCCATTTCTAGCACATTAGTGGAGGTGGGGAAATGTTGGGCTGGGACACAATAAGGAAAGGAAGCAGGATATTGAATTAAGTGGATGAGTTTATATTACACAGACCTCAGGGCGCCCATTACTCAGTGTCTTACTCTCCTGAGCTGCGTGACACAGTCATGCACAGTGCTGATGTGAGAAGGAGTGCAAAGAAAAGAGACTGCTGGTGAACACCTAATCAAGAGATTAGTTTGATATACACATCGTACCTTTCTGAGGTCATGCTGCAGCTGCCGGAGGATCACCTCCAACTGGTTGACTTTGCCGGTTAGCGTAGAGGGGGAGCCGCTGCAGAGGAGAAGAGCACAGCTTCCAGTTAAGACTCAAGACAGAAAAATCACAGAAATAAAACCGAACAGTTTCTACCAGGATACAGGAGCTAATAATGGACTCCTTGTTAAGTCCTGCATTTAACTGCTGTTGCCAGTCAACATTTCTCTTCTCACACAGTGAGTGTGCAGTTTACAATTAATATGGAGGCAGATTTACCTATGTGGCTCATGTTTATTCAGAACTGTTCATCTGATTGGCTTCACACTTGTCTATTGTTAAGGGACTGAGGAAGTTCAGTGTCAAATTTTGTGCAATTTGGACTCACGGTATGTTCAATATTAATAAACTGTGAATAAACAGGGGACCAGGGCTCTGTGGCAGTGGTGGTTGGGACTCATTACTTCAAGTGTCAATCATGACAACATGTCCATTCACGACAAAGTGGTGCCTGAATACAACTGATTCCTCTTTTACCCATAAATCAGGTGAATGACTCAAACGATTATGGCTATTTATGTACCCACACCCATAAGTTCAATGCACAATGTGATGTTGCGCAGAAAAAGGAGAATTTAGTGTGTTCATCAGGGTGTCATGTTTCCATCACTGCCAATCGGAGCTCATTAAAACCTGTCTACTGCAGAGTCATTTGACCTGAGAGTGCATGTTGATATCTTTTCCCATTGAAGACAAAAGCCAGATGTTAGCAGATGTTCTTTGTGCAGCAGCGGTGGCTTCAGCATTCTGAAGGCCAACAGTTGCTCTTCACCAGCTGCAGGGCACTTTTGCAGTTTCAGAAAGAAAGCTGCAACCAGAATCACCACAGACCAAGAAAACAGCCCAGTTTGTCAGTAAAACAAGCAGGCTGCTCATTTCTAGCAGACATACAACATTCACTTTCACCCATATTCAAAGACGAGACACAACTATGCGTTTGCCAAAAGTTTCACAATCTGAAACTGGTTTGACTGAAGTTTCTGGAGCTTTTCCAAACCGCATAAAGAGCAGGATAGAGCTTCTATAGTTACACTAAACTCTAATATACCAACACTGTGGCTCCCACTCTGGATGTTCTACTCCTACCAGACAGTTTGATTCACACTGTACACCTTTGTTCTTTAGCTTTTTAAGGTGACACCACCTTACTATTGACAAACAGAGTGTTGCTCTTGTTAGAGTTTCATGCACACTGCTTCATCAAGTGGAGAAATCTTCTTGACAGGCCTGCTGTGCCGAGGTACGGCCTCCAAGCTATGATTGGACGATCACCATTTGGGTGCAGGGTTGAACAAAGAGTCAATTATTCACTTGCTCCTGAATCATTGGTGCGGTGCTTGTGTGTTTGTGTCTGTCGGTAAGGCCGTACTCTGCTTCCAGTGCAGCTCCCTCCGCCTCCACCACACGTCTGGTCAGTTCTCTTGAGATCTGCAAAGCCTCTGCGCGCTGCATGTCCGTCATGGTGCAGAAGGACGCCACGCGCTGATCTGGAGAGAGAGCAGGTGACGTAACAGGTCATAATCTGCCCTTAACATCAAAAAACAGGAAATAGGTTCAGAAAATTCCCAGTGTCGACATGCAGCTAAAATAGAGCAGAATAACACACACGCAAGCACTTGACAGGATGGGGGTGACTCATTCATTCATGCTTTATATGAATGAACTAGTTCTGGTTGAAACCACTGAAGACAGTCCGCCTATACTAAGAAGTTTTTAACCAGAGAATAAGGAACAAGGTGGTAAACAGCCTTTTTTGACTATTACAGATCAAGTTAGTCCCTTGGGTGTCGCTCTGGTGCCCTCACCCCTCTGAGGCTCCTCCAACAGCTGTTTGGCTCATAATGGGCTGAATCCCAGAGCTGTAAGGCACCAGTCATGCTTGTTTTACCATATCAGGCCCTTAAGCTCCCTCAAAGCCCCATGGAAAGCCCAAACTTGGCATGTTACGCTCAGGGACTGCTCAGTTTGGAGGAATAATGCTCTTTTCTTTAGAATCCACTCTCACTCAAGCCCTTGGTCTGAGACTAAAGATAGGAGGATCTGCATATTCATAGAAAAGATTAAGGAACCCCTTCCATTAATTTAGCCCCCAAATGAAAGCTAATCCACTCCAAGACAAAAGCTGATGCAGCCCGGAGTCGGCTGCTCAGACGAGGCAGGAAAAGGGAGGCCATGCTTTCATTTACATATGAATGAACATTTTCATCATATTCGATGGCTGCATCAGAAAGATTAAAGACATCGAGGAAAACGGCGTCAGGCAAGCAGCTTGTCCTTTTTTTTCTGCGTGACCCCGTGTTTCCACAGATTTAGCGAACAAGCGGCTAAAATTCAAACAAACACAGATTACGTTAAAGAGAAATCATGACAATCTACATGAGTGAACATGCTGTGCTTAATTTATTTGTGAGTAAATACTGAAACATATCCCAGTTGTTTACAACGAGAGCTTTCGGTTATTGCACAAAAAGCACGGTGGGTTTTTTTGGGTGCTGAAAGCCAATCCAAACGTGCATCATGAATATGAATCGTCTCTCAGAAAACACAGGACCACGGTACTGAAAACTACAAATGCTTTACATCTCTGCCAACCTCTTTCTCTCCGTGCTGTAAACAGGGTTGGTTAAACATACATGATAACAGCCTTGAGCCACTTTCTGCTCAGCAACAAGCATCAGGTTAACACAGCGCTTTTTTTCTGGGCCAGCCGGGGTGACGTGACAACTGCCTTCTTGCTGCCAGTCAGATTCTGCATCATCTCCACTGATTCCACTCTTGTTAAATGATATGCTGCAGGCGATGCAGCAGGGAACGTATCAAAGGAGAAACTCCACAGAGGATTCATTAATTATGACAAATGAACGGTCACATGCCTCGTTGCCTGATCGCTGGTCGCGGGGTCGGGGCGAGGTCAAACGGAAGGAAACTCGTGGCATGTTAGATTTGTAGATTTCGTGATTGATGGCATGAGAGTGGTCGAAAACTAGAAAAAAACCTAAAGTAATAAAAAGTGATGATGTCGATCATGAGGTGATAAGGTGTAAAGTAAGAGACTAAATCCTCATACATTTATGTGAGTGCTTGTTTCCTACATCCCTCATCCCAGAATCAGGTGCCACCACAAAACACAAATTGTTCAGACGTTTAATAAGAAACAACAGTCCATCTTTAAAAAATGAAGATTTCTATTTGTAAAGGGAGAATCTGCCACTTTGGGCTGTATAAATTGTGTCTCTTCATTTTCTACAAGAAGAAGAAAAAAACCACCATCCTCCAGTGGACCGTATTCAGAGTTAATGGACAGAAGGCCAAGAGAGGACCTGAAATTACCCCCAAACTATCAACCCAAGAGCTTAATAGTACAAGTCACCGCTTTGAGAGCCCTCCCTGAGTGGTAACTTGCTGACTTTATGGTGTGAAAATTGGCTCTGTGTCCGTGCAGAGAAATGATGGCTCATTCTTCCAAGTTACACTGCTCGATGGGAATCGCAATGGGGCTCAGAGTGGAGGCGCAAAAAGCAGAGGGATTCCCAAAAGTCACCTCCTACAGCACTTAAGAAACACAAACACGCAGCACACACAAACCTACACATGCAAGCCATTGAGCACTTGCAGGTTGCCGACACACACACACACACGTGCTAAGCAGCTAGGATGGCTAAGGGGGAAGAAGGTGGTGGTGTAGGGGGGAGGAGTTGCACAAAGTGCCCGCAGCTTCAGCCAGGCTGGTTACCTTCGAAGGCTCGTGCTGCATCAACCAGGTGGGACCAGTCCAGGCCCGAGGCGGTGTCTGGGAGGGGCATGAGGCCCGGGTCGCTGAACTTGGACCTGTCCGCCAAGGAGCCATCAGAGAACCAAAACTCATCTGCAGAGACAGGCAGGCACTCCGATCAGTGTCTTTGCCTGGCCTGGGTTTAAGGACTAATCTGAGTCACCCATCAGTTTGCATCAGACAGGAGGGGTCGGGAGAATGGAGAGGCTTGGGGGGGGGGGGGGGGGGCAGGGGTTTTATTTGAACTAGTCATTGCTGCTAAAAGAGATTATCTTTACCTAACTCCAGCCCTGCACAGCAGGACACCTCGCTCGCCTGTGCTCACTAGTCGCTCGGATCCAATCATACCATCAACTCTGTCCACCTCTGATCTAAATACACTTAAACGCGAAATCCTCCTTACGCTTGCAAACAATTTATCTTTGGAAAGAATATTTTTCTATCAATGTGACAGAATGACAGACTAGCGACTGCTATCTCTGCATAGCGCACGCAAAGGCACTGTCTGAGGGGCAATAAATGACTTGTCTAAGTGAATGTCTCCATGTCTCAATCAATATCTCCTTTCCATCCCTTCTGTCTCCCTCTACCCTCCCTTGCTCTCAGCCCTGAAAGACAGGGAATGCAATAAACAAGCTTCCATTCTGCAGAGAGGGGTGTTCAGAAAAAAAAAATTGTGAGTGGAGAAGCAGAGAACAGTCAGAGAGAGCTTGAGGTGATGCTGACACTCTCCTTTCAATTTATCCAGCATCTCAAGTTGGAGTGATTCTCTGTTTACCAAACTGGGCTGTTTCAGCAGGCCTGTGTGCTCAGCTACCCTTCAAAACAATCAGGAATCCATCAGGCTGACAGCCAGAAGAGGCTAAAGAGAGAGAAGCATCTTTCCAAAAGCCATTTTCTATCTCGGTATGTTAGCCGGAGACGGGCAAGGAGCTGTATGGTAATGAGACAGGAGGGACGGAGAGGGGAGGCAGGCAGGGACTGATGAGTGAATGAAACATTATGTATGACAGACATTGTGACACTCCTGATGGAAAAATAGGCATGTTCATGTCAGATATCTTAACGACCTGCAGCAGCGCAGGAAGGACACATCACACCTCTCATTGCTGATACATATTCAGTGAACAGTGGAGAGGGGAGCGCTAGCCAGCAGTGACAGGTGTCTGCTTAATGCAGACGGAGCAGCGGGCCCCTCGCAAGTTGCACACTACTTCACCCGGTTCGAATTAGTTGGCTATATTGAGGAGTGTTGCTGGAGTGTTCACCAGTTGTGCTAATGAGATTTATGACCAGAGTGGCTCTTCAAACAAGTATCTTTATCCTGACTCTCGCCTGGTGCCACAGAAGAAGGTTGATAATCCAAAAACCACATGCAGAGAAAGACATTAGTCCTCCTCTCTCTATTCTTGCTTAAATCAAATATTTTACAAGTTGTCAGATGTTTCTTCAGCCCCACGTGGGCCCATGTGAATTTCACCATGTGCACTTACGTCTGAGGTTGGATGCTCCCTGGTTGTGGATCATGCGGGGAGGCAGTGTACTGTGGTAAGGTGGGGTGGTGCTGAATAGGATGTCATTGGGCATGGCTTGGTCCAGCATGGAGCTGTGCGAGCTGGCATAGGACGAACCCTTGCGGTTGCTGCACACACTTTCGTCCGACAGCGTCCGGTACAGGGAGCGCCTCGGTGATAAACTGCCGATCGCTGACACCTGCGAGATGGAGAAGGAGAACAGTTTGTTAAGAGATGGTCGCAATGCAAAGAACCGATTGATCTGCAAACCCCCAGCGATGGCCCCCTGTCTGCACCTTCCCTGCACAGTGCGTTTACACGAGCAGGCAGCTGGGATCAGTAAGGAGGGAAGGGAACATCAGGGAGCAGTCTCAGGAATCAATTACAGACTGTGCTCTCAGGAAAATGCAGATGGATTGAGCACAGCTGGTGAGTGTCTGACAGAGTGGGAAAAATATAGGACGGGGCTTGTGGAGGTGGTGACAAGAGGTCACTGCAGTGAGGCAGCCGATAGGCAGCTGAGCTTATAATGATAATAATAAGTTTATTTGTATAGCACCTTTTATATAAGTAAAGCAGCTCAAAGTGCTTTACAAACAATAAAGATACAAATAAAACACGTTTTAAAAGTAAAAACATGTAATTCATGTGAGAAAGTCAAGTTAAATGGACACAAGAATACCAAAGTCTATATTCTGACCCTGACTGCTGCAAGAATTCATGCAAAACAACTTTCAATGCTTGCTACACGATTGTCTCTGAATATGACTGAAACACAGGAAGTATCCTGTGCATTGGGATCTATTTCCAGGTCATTTTGCTTATTCATCCACTCATCATGTAATACTACTGCAGTTACACTGTCTTCTAAGCAATCATAATACAAGGATGGACGCAACCATATTAACTCAAACTGGAGGAATCAGAAATAATAATATTTTGATATAAATTAATATGATGTTGTATCAACACTACTACTAAAATATGTCCTGAGTATTTATTCTCCTAAATCCTATAGCTGCCAATAAAATAAGAAACTAGAATGGCATTCACAAAACAACATATCTCCGCCAAGGCCCAACAGTCCTGAAAACACATTTAAATTCACTAGATCTGGATTTTAATTTGGATAACATTTTCATCAAGATTCATGAATTATTCTCTGAGAAATCAATGAAAATGTTAAAAACTCCCAATCACACAATGTAAAAGAGAGAAAAAATTTAATGGGTTGTTCTTCATGTCCTACCTCTCAACAAAGTTTCATGGAAATTGGTCGTGCATTTTTGGCATAATCCTGCAAACCATCAAAAAAACACAACCTCCTTGGCAGAGGTAACAACAAAGAATAGCTTTGAAGGTTGTTTCAGGCTGCTACTTTCTGTGTTTCCTGTCAGATGGACTCAGAGAAAAGCATTTGAAATGATTCTGTGTCAAAATTGATTTAGAAAGCTGACCGAGTCACAAGGAGCTTTGCACACAATGTTTTTTCCCCAAGCACACATGCTGTAAATGGAAAGTTAAAGCAATCCGTTGAATCACAATGACGACAGCAAGTTGGAAAATAAACTCTGAGCTGTCTTGTCAAGGGAGGCTCAAAACTCCTGAATTTGCTGAATTAACACGGATGATCATGATATTTGTAGATTAAGTCATGTACACTTTCTTTTGGTTCCTTATTTACAAACCAGAAGACCGATGAGCATAGTTAAGTGAGGCCTGTGGGCTTTAAGTAAAGTGAATATATTTTATTTGCAAATAGTGCATGCTCTCTAAAATAAGAGGGAACAAATCTAAAGTGGATGGAAGCCTATGGCAGACAACGTTGTGGTCAAAGGAAACTACAAGATTAAAGTTAAACAAGCTGAGTGGGCTTGAACAGCAGAATCCTGCAGGATGTCTTCTGTGAACGGAGGAGCACTACGCAGCATACCACTGCAGAGATACTAGAGTTACATGACCGTGGCTGCAGTTTTGACAGAGGATCTCTTGTTTAAACACACAAAACCACAAACACCCATCCCATCCATCATTGTCCCATTTAGCTTACATAAATATTGCTGGAGTGACATCAAAAGTAGCCACAAATGATATGCGGGGCAGTCGGCCAGATGGGTAAATGTCTGCCTTTGGCTTCCCAGCTGTAACCAACATTAAACTGGTATCCCCACAAGCCAACACCCAGCCATCTCCATTTCAAAGACGCACAAATCTCATGGTGAGAATTTAACAAACATCTAGTACATCTTTAAAGAGGAGATATATATACTGGAATGCAAAGCTCGGCACAGAAACACACGCACAACCTTTAAAAGAACATCTCAGAGGCTTTAACTCAACATGGGTGTCTCTTATTGCATTTTCCCACCCAACTTTACAAGATTAGAACCCATAAGGTTCTCGCTCATCAAAACAACTTTAAACAGGATTTGCTGCTCCTCTATATAAAGCAAAAATACCACAGATGCAGGAGCTCCAGTAAATGGAGTCACGGCAAATGAAATAATTTGCAATAGGGCTTAATGGTTTTTCAGAGGCAACAATCTATTTCATCTACAGTTTAAAATAAGGCTCCGTGAACACAGCTTGGCAGTGGTTGGCTCAACCTGCTGTGCACATTACACACAGAATATTGTATTTATCAAACCTGCGATTATAGGCAATTTCAGTGTAAATGCACCGCAGCCTGATTTTATTCTTTTGTACAACAACCACACTCTTATCAGTGGAGCCACATCCACCGGAATTTTCCTGATTTCCCAGAGTTTTTTTTGTCTTTGCTGCCCACAGCGAACAAAGACACCAACAAGCAGCTCTGGAAGCCTTTGACGTGCAGTTTAGAGGATGTGTTGGACAACCACCTTTTCAAATCCTTTTTTTTTCTCTTTCCCACAGGAGGTTCAAAAGAGGAATGCTGTGGGAGAATAAGCGGTGAGCTGCCTTTCCTATACGTCAGCCACACAATAGTCTGCCTGTCTGTGGAAGGGGCGTCCCAGCGGACACAGCGGCTGGCGAAGAAAACCTCTCTGCACCTGCTCACCCACACAAAGAATGGCGTCGGGTGACTACCTAAGTGACACACGCATTAACCTTTAGTGTAGACTCTGTTTAATTACTTAGGAGATTAAGCAAGTCAGATTGAATAAAATAAACAATAAATCAATGATGTTTCCAACATTGTCATTGCTGTAATTTGATTCCTTTAACGTGCCAGCTGATGATTGAAAACATGCAGCCCCAGAGAAGCTGCTCCCAGAAAAGAACAGTATGTGTTCATTGGGATCAGATGTGTATATGGTCGGAGTGTCTGGCATCGTGCCCTCCCTCATGCATCTCTTTTCCAGATCGCTTTTCCACACAGTGTGTTATTGCACGGAATTCGACTGGAGAGTGAGATTACAACAAATACCATACTCCTCTTTGAATCCAATAGGCAGCAGTGTGCACCTTTCTACTGGTTACTGTGCTTTTCTTCTCTGTGGGAAACAAAACAGATCCAACTGAATAAGAATCACAGCAAAGGCCTGATACACCTGCTTTCATTTTAGCCTGTTCTCTCACAGGGGCCACATTTTATATACAGTGAGCACGATGCATGACAGCGACAAACTAATCAGTGCATTGAGCTTCTTCATGTGAGAGACAAGGCCTGCCTGTGCCGGAGGACATGTTTGTCTTCTCAGGGGATGAAATGCTTTTGTATTAGAATCGAGCAGCATCCAAAAATAGCCCATTTATACGTCTCCTGGGTCCTTTCCTTGGAGATAATGGATGGGGGATGGGGACGGTAGGCGGCACGGGGAACTCAAGATGCAATTAATAGAGTCGGCAGGAACCAGGATCATCAAACATCGATGCACTCTCTGCAACTTCCTGCCTTTAATCCATGACATCCCGACTGATCAAACTCAGGTCCATTATAAATTAAATTAACCAAACACTGTGTGCCAGTCAGTCGGGGCTGAAAGGGTCTGGTGTTGGGAGAGTTGTGGTGCTTGGCAGCAGGGGCTAGCTGAGAGGCAGCAGATGTTTTTCCTGCTTAATCTTGCTTCCCAGCACGAGGTTATCTGCTCTGGTTCTGGACTCATATGTACCACGTCTGTGAGTCAGCATGAGAAAGTAGCCTTAAGGGTTGCAGTAAACTGTAATTATGCTATCAATCATTGCATCATAGTTTCAACAGGTTTTATTTGTCTATGTGTTTAAACGTCAGAATTATCATGTCATTTAGAGATTCAGTCAGCCACAAAGATCTCACCTTCCGACTCCTGTCATCTCCCGGGGGGCTGTCTGGCAGCATCATTTTAAGGTATTCTTCTTTTGAAAGTCTCTGCAGCGATTTTCCATCCCGCTCTGCATCCTGGAGCCGGCAGGCAGCCTCCTGAGCGTACAGCTGCCTGTGGACAATACAGAGGGCATAGAAGAACAGGGCTCATCAGAAGGGGTCACACGATCCACAAACCTGCGAGGGAGGCCTCAAGCCATCGCAGCTTGGGTTGACAGGTGTCCCCAGCTATTTAGAGGATAATGTCAGTATCAGACAAAGGGGTTTTGGGTGAAATCCGTGTTAGCATGCCAACATCAGGTGCCTCCCTGCTCAGTGCTACTCAGGTGATTGTGGGGAAACAGGGTTAGAGAGGGAGCTTGGGAAGAAAAACTCATTTTCCAACAACACCCAGTCTCATCTCTGTCTGCTAAAACAAATGATTAAAGAGACTGTAAAGAACGAAGCTGAGCACTGTGAAAGGTAGAAAGTCAGGGAAAATAGAGGGACAGAAATTAGAGACAAGGTAGTGCGAGGACAATGCGAGTGACACGGCGGCTGAAGTTGTGTGGCTGTGAGACCTCTGCTTTTAGTGAGCAGCCTGTGAGCATGACACACTGAGTGCTGTTGGCAGGGTGCTAGATGGCCACAGGGGGATACACTAGACGGTGAGACGATGGGACAGCCTGGCCGTGATGGTTACCTAGAGACATTATTGCTGAGAGTTGCCCTGTTTTAAGCTTTTGGCACCATGGCAACCAAGCCCTGAATACATAGACTAGTATTGCCAGATGCATTCTGACTGATCCACGAGATCTCTGGTTCAAAAACAATTACTCTGTTGTGAAGGCTGCATCTAAGATGAAGAAGTGCAATTTACTGAGCTCTGTTTATTCATGACTTGGTGTTAGGAAAAAAAACAACTTTAATTTCCCCCTGAATCTTGAACTCCTGCCCAATTTGTTCCTCTGTGATCAATCTGTGGTTATGGGAAATCTTCAACAACGCTAAGGCCCTGACCTCAGCAACTAAAGATTATTCCACCACATGGGAACCTCTGATAAATGCTTACAATGCAGGTCGTGAGAAAAAGAAGGTATGTTTTCATCCAACGATTATTTTTAATGTCTCAATTTAAAAAATAATGATGACTTGGCAGAACCTATTTCTGCTTCATCTATTGTATACAAGGTATGATGTCCTGCTGCCGAGCACTGTCACAGGCTCCAAATAATAAAAATAAAGCTCACATTTTATTTTGAAATTTCAGAACTTTGCTTCTGTCCTTAGTGTGTGTAGTGTGTTGGATGAGGGTCAGACAGGGAGAAGTGTTGGTGGACAGTACACAGCAGTGGGATTCTGTGGGAGATACAGCAGAAATGTCACAGCCACTGAGCCACAGCTGGTTGCCTTCCACTGTCAGCATGTGCCACATGGCAAGGCCAGCACATGATGAGAGGAATGGGGTGGTGGTCTAGGACATGGGAGGTGCGGAGGGTGGGCTGGGTCAGATCGGGGCCACAGGGTTGACTTTAACTGACTGTGTACCTTGAGCGATCAGCCAGCATTTTGAGAAGGAAGGCTAGCAAGCTCTCCGCTCCTCTGGAACAGGAAGAAGCAGCAGCAAGAGAGAAACAGCCAGGGGTTAGGAGCATTTTTACATCCTGCGTTAACATACAGTGTTAGAGCAGAGGAGGAAAGTTTTTAGAATGAAGGAAGAGAAACTTCATTACGTTAGAACAATATCTGTGAGTAACATTAGGCCATTCATCACAAGGCACAGATATGCAAGGTGAAATAAAACTGTAGGAATAGATAAACAAACAACGGGGAGGGTAACTGAATTACAGAGCTTTTTCATAAGTTGGCAAAAGATGACTTCAGTGCATGCGATCAATCACACAGGCCTTAAGTGGCAAATTTCAAAGCCTCAATGAAATTACTTGGGAGCAGGAGCAGGGGGTTTTCTTTCAGGGCGAATCTCACATTCTTTCCTTCAAAATATGCCCCGAGCCCGGCACACAAGCACCTTCAAACAAGCACACACACAGACGCTCACATACACACCTGTGTTTCAGCTTCACCATCAATGGTCCTACTCTTCACAGCAAAGCATTTAACCATCAGACTGAAACAGTCAGTTGTAGTTGGTCATATAAAGTCTGAAGGGAGTATATACATTTTGAGCCTGGCTGAATAACTGCCTACATCCCTTTTCCTAGAGGCTTTTCTGTGGCTGGTGTTGTCGAGCTAATGTGTGGATCGTTGCTTGGCTCTGCAGCAGAGATGCTGATCTGGTGGAGGCTCAGCACGGCAGTCCATAGGGACGCGATTTCACAGGAACAATCAATAACCACAAGTGACATGTGCCAAGTGTATTATGTCCGCAGCTTCATTGAGCTTATTTATTTTGTGGCTGTCGGCTTCAATCAAGGCCAGTTAAGGAACGCTGGGTGGGCTGATGGAGAGGGATGCTTGTATTGGAGCGGATTTGGCAAACGTGCAATAGCGAGTTTGGGAGAAAACAGCTGCTGGATGGGAGAAACAGCGATGGGGTCAATGAGTGAGACTGAAAAGTGTCATGTACCTTTGCATGATAGTGTTGAGCTTAATATCAGCCTCGTGAACTGACACCAAGAGCCTATTTGGTGATGTTCTCACACACACATGCACACACTCACCCACACTCTGAAATGTTGGGAGGTCCCTCAGTGCTGCGGTCTCCATCATCACCCTCATCATCACCACCAGTCGTCTTCACCCCCACCAGCAAATTGCAGCCAAGCTCGGGCCGGGTCTGTCCACAGGCCTCTGAGCTGGGCCCCGGCTCTGGCTCTGGCTCTGGCCCTGAGCTGCTGGTCTGGGGGATGGTGTACACCTTGGAGGAGTCAGCGGACATACAGTATCTGGCCCCACGGGCGAGGGGACTGCCAGAGTGGTGTGAGCCACTGATCAGACAGCAAAAAAAGCATAATGTAACTCAAAAATGACAAGAGAATGAATGCATTTAAAATGAGAGAAAAAAAAAAACTAAACATAAAATGGTGAATAAAAGTATATAAAAGCATTAACAATGAAAAATGAGTCTTCTAGCAATGCAGTGAGGTTCCATGTTGAGAAATGACAGTGATTTTTGAAGCTGATTGCTGCTATTGGCTTTGATGAGGGTGACTTTATTTCCTCCACACAAAGTGTATTCCAGCTAGTTCACCTCTAACCTACATTGGAATATGACTCACATCCAGTCTCTCATGCGACTGTTCCTGTTGAACTTTGTCCTTTCACTATTTAGTCAAATATCAACTGACAAACTGTATTAAAGGGTCAGTGCATTCAAATCCCAGACACATTTTTCTACTCCCTCACAGTGGTTTCTATCAAATTCTTAACATTTAAGTGACATTTTGGTCCCTAAAAAAATGTTTTTGTTTCTGTTATATATTAATGATATAACATGCATTCTATTTGATGCCTTTGGACTTATTTACCCACACTGTCAATTGCTATTTTAAGGCAAATCTCCTCACTAATACAAGTGAGGGCAAGTCCCCTGGACAGATTGAGTTTTTATCTTTTAGCTACTGGACTGAGATTGAAATAATCTGTACAGCTTTACATTTTGGTTTGAACACCTTATCATTTGTTAACAAACTTTGCTCAAACTCTTCTCATTCTGCTTAAATACCCTGAGACATCACAGTTTATGCACTCTTGTTTCCATATTCATGACCATCTGGGCCACACCTTCCAAAGTGTGCTCCTACTGCTTCACTGTTAGTTCAGATGACACTCGGGTGACAAAGTCCATCACATTAAAGGTGGGAAGCATCGGGGTGGTCAAGGTGATGGCATGTGCTCTTTCCTAATTTCTGAATGATATCCTGGAGTGGACAGTTCTGACACCTCCCCAACAGCTCAGTGATCTGAACAGATTGCTCCCACATAATCCTGCACGGCATAAACAAAGAGGTACCCGTTCTATTTCATAAAGACAGACTGTGAGTGGCTTCAGGGCCAACCTCTATCTGACACCCCTCCTCTCTCAGCTGGACCCCAGTCTGGTGAGGAGGACTTGGACCACGGTGTGATGAACCCTACCCACAACCCCCAACCCCCATGTTGCTCCAGCCTGACAGCAGCTCCACCCAGCGGCTTCAGCACAGCTGGATGAGTCAGGCTGCGGGTCAGGAGCGAGGGAGCACGTAAAAGGGGAAAAGGTCAACTAACAGCCAGAAACCATCCTTTTGTGCATGTGTGTGTTGTCTGTGTTGTGTCTGTGTGTGTGTGTGTGTGTGTGTGTGTGTGTGTGTGTGTGTGTGTGTTTAACAGATCGGATAATGGGCTGAATTGTGTGGCGGAGGTGGTGTATATGTGAATGTACATTCACATGTTTGAACACAGTGGATTGTGCTCCGAGCCATATACCATGAAAAGGGTGTGAGTTTTACTCAGCGGGCAAATCAATGACCCGACACAGATGAATTAAGTCACGACAGAATGAAGTAATTGCCCATAGACAAGAAAAAACATAAAGTTGCTGCGGATGATGCAACAAGCACATCAAGTCTTTGTGGGTGTCTCAGCGTCGATGCTTCCTGGCACGGAGAGATCGCTTTCTAACATGTCAATCAAAAATCTCCCAGGGGTATTTAATTTGACTGGATCTGGTGACTGCTGAGGAAAAGGCATATGACTCCATAACCATCTGACTGTATGTGTAAGCTTCTACAGTCTCCTTATTTATGCTTTTTTCCATTTAAAATGACCCGAAAACAAAACATTGACACTAAAAGAATTAAAACTTACACATTTAACTGATTAAAGTTACATCTGTGCTTTACCTTGAATGGGATGAGATCTCGCTCAGGTCTCCGATGCTGCCCTCCGTTGCGTGACTTGACATAATAGCAGAAGCGTATCCCTGTGGTAAGTACAGTTTCCCGTGATCCTCCTCTGACGCCCCATCCTCGTGGTGCTCTGACACCCAGGGGTGTCCCTGCTCCCCCATCCTGCACTGCAGCAACACCCGGGCCCCGGGGGCCACGCAGGGATTAGTGTCTATGCCGCTGTCTGTGGACGCCCCTTTGATGTACGTGAGGCCGAGCATCTCCGGGTCCATCAAGTCTCCGGAGCCAAAGTGCTTATCATCGCTGTTGCTGGAGGCGTTGCTTGACAGAGTGTTGCTACTCGAGTGGCTGGAGTTTTTATCGCCCGTCTGGTGCAGAGACAGAGAGTGAGAAATACAGTAAATCAGATGAGGCCCAACAGCAGCTGCAAATAATTTTTTCTGGGTGTTTTGACATGCCTGGCACACCAGAAGGGAGGGGTTTACCCATCAGTTTACATGTTGATGTGTGTCTGACTGAAGGGACAACCCCTGATACTGTCACTAGTTGAGATTAATAAGAAGAAATAGAAACACAATACGCTGAATGTCACTTAATTTGCTCGTGACCTTTTTATATCTTGGTATTTAAGTGAGAGATCCAAGGGATCTGGTCCCTGATTAGCTTTAAAGAGGGTTTATAATATTTTATCAACTACTTTCTGATCAGAAAACCAGATTATTATTATTCATCACCAAGCACCACTTATCAGGCCAACTTTACTTCAATGGTTCCACAATGTAGATCAGCAGCATTGCAAATCAATTTGTTGACCCACAAAAAAACCCATGTGGACGGGGTTAACAGCGATGTTTAATTACATCAACTATGACCTCAGGGTTGCGACCTGTCATGTTTTCTTCATTATGCCACGCTAAACGCTGCTGAATTATGGAAGCAACTTAAATCACATTACATCAAAACGACAGAAAAAAAACAAGCAATGTGCATTAGGGGAACGGTTTAAATTTTCATCCACTGGCCTGAGTTAATGCTGAAAGCATTGAAAGAAGTTGTTAGCGGTATGTGTCTGCCTCCAGCAGCAAGGAGAAAGGAAAGAGAGTGAGAGAGTGCATGGGCCCAAAAAAAAGATAAATGAGATAGCAGGGGACAGAGAGAAAAGGGGAGGATGAGAGTATGAAGCACTTAATATATTCAACCTTCTAGGAAAATGTGTCCTAGAAAAGTGTGAGACAACCACAAATGGTGATGTGATGAGACGCCCGTTAGCAAGCTGATGAAGGCAAAGTGATAAGTGCAAAGAGTGGCAAGAGGGGACGACACGAGGCTGAACACCCCAATTGAAATGCTGATTGCTGCAAATCCCATAAACAAGGACAATCACCCTGATTCACACAGCGGTGTGGGGTAAAACAGGTCTGACAGTGCAGAGTGAAGCAGTGCAAAACACTCCACTGCAAACACAGCACACACACTGTCAATGCTGCATTAAACTTTCAAACACTGCGCCCTCCAGAGCAAGTTGAATATGAATTTCCAGTACATGCTATGTGGGCAGCGTCTGTCAAACTAAAATGAAAGTAGGTCAGTGATTTACCCTGGACAGCTTGTTGGGTGAGTCCTTTCCTCCTTCTCTTTGCTTCAGAGGGTTCAGGATCTTGGTGGAGGGGATGTGCCATTTGGCCTCTGTGCACCAAGAAGGAATAAGGAAGATTTTAAAACTTACATCGTATTTTTAGACATTATATGCGCTTGAATCAGGATTGGTTATCAATTGAATAAGTTCCTGAATTGATCAATACTAAATATCTCAGGATGAAAAAGAGACGCCACATATGCAGAAGACAACGAGATTCACAAGCTTCCTGTGATACATGATCTCTGCATATGACGTTTATAAGTTAGGTTGACTCCGGAGAACGTCTGAACCCCACTGTGAAGACTTTCTCTGCAGTTCATGCCTGAAATTGGCTAAAGAAAACAGGCTTACCTGCAGATCTGGTCCTTTCCAGAGTAGGCTCTCTCTCCCTGTGGATCTCCCCCTCTCCCCCCTGGATGTCCCCTGCACGTTCATGAAGAATAGGGGAGGGACACCTGCAGAAACAAAGAGGAAAATTATTATTCTCTGTATTGCAGTCAGAGAGAGGCTTCAACAGATATACATATACAGACATAAAGCAAGTAGCTTGATCGTTTAAGGTTGAATCACTTGAGTCTATAATAAAATAAAAAAGCAGCCAGACATCACTGACGAGAGACTTCCTTTCATTCGACTGTCCGGCGCTTGACAAAAGGAAAATATGTCAAAGGGTCTTAATAAAACCTAAACAGCAAATACAGGTTACATATGAACAGAGGCAACAGTGTCTCGTGATTTTAGTCTTTAACAAAGACTAGCTGGAGCTCAATGGGCCAGTCAGCGTGTGTGTTGTTCTGCATGGAGGCAGCTCTGACGGGGCACGGTGATCCCAGAGAGTCGGTTGCACTTTTGAGGCCTCTGACAGGGAGGCAACAGCGTTGAGCTAAGCCTCTTGTCATGGTCTGTAACTGCTTACACACAGACATTGGTCTCTGATGGATTCTGCTCATGTTGGAGTCTCAGACTGACAGATGTTACACCTGAGCAGTGTGCTGCCCTGCCAACCATTATATGAATGAAAGTGGCAGCAGCATGTTGCAAAGAGATCCATGTTGATAAAATGCTGTACAGGGGACAACACACATGTGTGGTGGCTTAAGTTATGTTGGCAGAAGGTTCTCGAGCTCTGTCTGCTTCCTCCAGAATTGACATTTCTGTGATATTTTTAACAAAAAAATATTTTCAGCGGCCAACTCCAAAATTACAGAGTAGTTTGCTCAAATGGCACTTTAGTCACAGTAGTAGACACTGGAGGACAAGAGAGACATTTTTATAATCACTTGTTATTATACTTAAGTGCTCATCCTTTGAAAATCTCCTGAACAGAAAAAGATGTTCTCAAACTAACTCCAATGAAAAATACTGCACCAGGCTTGGATTTAAATTTAGACTATAATCCAATGGCTATAAAACTATATGGTTTGATTTACAAAGTGTTAATTTATGTTTGGAGTTACCTTCATGTTCTGCTCAGTGAAATCATGAACCTAAAGCTTTGGAATGACTGAAAGGAAACTTTACTAATAAGTGTTACATGAAAAAAATCACATACATTAAAGTCATCATCCTCCATCATTTTCTTTCATTTAATGTCTGAATAAGAACGTGGCTTTAAACCACAGCAGGAATCGTTTTATTGTTTCGTTGGAATACGTCCTGCAAAATAACTGGACAAATGTGCCTCGATGATTTGTTCATTTCATGTGGAAAAATTGCTGTCATTTTCTAAAATTGCAAGTTCTCAGAAATAGCACCGGGGCTGATTGTAGCTGCATTCATCACGGCAAAAACCACATAATCCTGGAGGAACTACTTATGAGGCTGTTTCAAATAAAAAGTAACACTGCTGTGGTGCCTTACCCGTCGTATCCAGGCTGCTGGGACCAGGTGCCGCTGCCGCAGGGTCCCGGATCACTGGAGGAGGACTGGTTACTGGGGGAGCTGCGGTAGTGCTGGTCCCCCTTGTTGCATGAGGTGACCTGGGGATTTTCAATATCCTGCATTGTCCTGCAGAAACAGGAAAGATATGCTTTGGTTAAACACACTGCCACATATGATCAAAACCCAGGCTGTATATGAAACTATTATACCATATACTGTTTATTCAATTCTAGGGGGCGTCTAATTGCTCATTTTCCCAGAATCAAGGTGTCATTATGAAATTGCTTGTTTAATTCAACCAACAGTCCAAAACTAGAAGATATACAACGACAAAAACAAAGACAATCAGTGATTCTTCACTTTTGATATTCAAAAAATGTAAATGTGGTTATTTTGATTGATAAATCCATTCATACATTTGTAAAAAGAATCAGTTGCAATGTACTAATGAGGTAAAGTGGGACGTCCAATTACTGAAAAGTCAGTAGATAGATCCCCAGCTCCTCCGGTCTACATGTTGGCAGGACTTTGGGCAAGAAACTGAGCGTTAAAATTGCTTCTGATGGCGGTATAATGGTATTAATATGCGTTTGTCTGAATGAGATCTATGAATTTGTGCAAACAGGTTAATGTGGGAAAATGCCAACATTTCCATTGAACTTTTTGATCATTTAAATATTTACTATTATAAATTTACCATCTTTAGTATTATCATTATTGTTTTTACATGATGCATATATTAGATTTTGATTCAAGTGGCTCTTCTGAAACAAACTTCAATAACCTTCTTTTCCTCGCTGTCCGATGTTTATGTCTTTATTATTGGGTGTCAGTCCTGAGAATAGTCACTTCCTGTAAGTACTGTGGAAAATCTCTCACAAAATGTGAGAACTGTCAGTGATGGAGAAGGTGTCTTGTTCTCCAAAGACACACAGAAGAAGAGATTAGTTATGGTAATAAGCCTCAGCGACTAATCCAGATGGTGGAGCCCTCACTGTGTGTGTGTGTGTGCAAAGCAAAGGCAGAAGTAGCTTCTGAATGTAAGAGGATGTTTGAGATTTCTGCTTTACACAAAGTTGACTCTGTTCCCGAGCTGTCGACGCGCACATGATCTGTTAAGAAGTTTATCTCCATTGACTTTGACCATGATCTCAGCTCAACTCGTCCAATGTGTGTGTGTTTCACTGTCCTTCAGTAAGTCCTGAACCGGCTCAATATCCTAAGACGAGAGGGTTCTTTGCCTACTTCACGTGGCCAGGTCAACAGTGTGGAGTGAAAAATAACACTGGATTTGAGTTATGTCTGCTGCCAGGAGACCAAACACCAAATATACCTAAGAGGGTTCGGATGACCAGATGGAAATATGACTGAAATAACATAGACGGGATAGCTTTCACATTCTGTCTCTCGCTACACATTCTATACTGTTCATTTATGCTTTGTCTTTTCCTTATATATATATTTAACTTTAATAACCTGATTCCACACTTGCATAAACACTTGAAGATTAGGAATGTGCAGATTAATCTAACAAAAATAATCCAGTCGAATTTTATTATTCCAAAATCTAATTATTAACATGCCCTCAAAAGCTGACAGATTCCTAAGGGGGGCGCACCAGTAGCTCTCTTGGTTAAGCGCGTCACATGTATCAGGTTGATTCCTCACCACAGCAGCCTGGGTTTGAATCCAGGCCAGGCCTTTTGCTACATGTCATCCCCTCTCTCTTTGCTGCCTTTCCTGTTGCTGTCAAAAAAGGCAGAAATGCCAAAACAATATCTTAAGATAAAAGGAGCTGACGAATCCTTCACATCAGCCCTTTCTGCTTTGTCATCAAGTTTCCTTTGTTTTTTCCATGAGAAACTCGCCCAACTGTCAGTAACTCAATCACAACACACATCATCAAACACCCCGACCAGATCGCTACATTTCCGCCTTGGCTGAAGTGTTAGTCTTCTCTGCCGGGGCCATGCAGGCACTTTAATGTGAAACAGCAGCAGCTGCTTCTTATTCTCTGTCTCTTCCTCCTTTGACATATAATGTTATGTTCCCTCTGCATTGAAATAACACTTGAGGCTGCAGAGATTAGCAGTGGGTCTCGGTTGGCTGAATGCTAGGTGTCATATTTTACTGTACCAAATCTGGATTCTGCTCTATGAGGATGGGATGATTTTTTATCTAAGCAGTAAAAACTCACATGTGACCCATACACGAGTGGTTTGCCAACAGTTTTTTTGTCAGGCACCCCCCAGAAGAACCACCTGTTATGTTACAGAAATGTGCATTTGTATTTAAGCTGGATGTAATTTTACACTAATAATTAAAGTGTTTTTTCGTTCCGCATCGGTAATAATCTCAGTCCATACTAACATACCAGAAAATGTATATATTGTGACCATTCAAAAACACTGGGCCTAACCCTACAGGAAGAAGATTGACTACTCTGCAGTTAGTTGCGTAGTTACAGGAAGTACTAAGAACAAGAAACAAAAACGGCGAAAAATAAGATGAGGGATTTCTTTTTTTGGACTGACGATGAGGTGGAATTGTTACTGACAGTGTTTACAATGTTTTGCCTACACCGCTGGTATCTGTGTTGTGACTGATAAGAACCAATCAGGAAGTGAATGTTGGTTGACTGCGTAATCGTTTCCAACCCCAGGAGTGGTGTGGAAAGCAGGTGTAAACCAAGCAGAAGTGATGAGTTTCAAAACTAAAATATAGTAGTATGGATGTAAGCTGGACCAATCGACATGTCTATTTTTCCTTTTTTCCTTAACGATCGGCTATAGTCGCTACTTGGAGCTGTTTCATCTGTTATCCATTAATTTGAACTGTCTTTAAGAATGTGCATGCTCGATAGTTTTCATGCCCTTTCATTCACAACACACATGTACCTAAATCAATATATGGATCTGTTTTCAAACTAAATTACTGTTAAATTTTATTAGTTGAGCCTCTCTACAATCTTTGCATTTCTGTTTGTCACTACTACAGATGATTTTTCTTCTGCATGTCCACACAGTATGGAAAAAATAATAAGCAAACGTGACACATACAAACAACTTACTACATTTTTCTCCCTCAATTAAGCTTCATGTGACTTATTTTTCTAGAATATGTGACTGTAAAATATTCTACCCCTCCCTCCCTGCCTCTTCAGTCTACAATTCTTCCAGCCCCCTCTTCTACTCCCTCTCCCTCTGGGGTGCTACATATCGTGGTCCAGGAAGAGCGCTCTCTTTGTTTCTGTAGTAATTGGATGAGATGAGCTGAGCCGTGTCAGTGTCCCCATCACCTCCTCCTCAGCAGGGTGCAGGAAGAGGGAGGGAGCGAGGAGCGGGGCGAATAAGGAGAGAGAGAGATGGGAAAAAGAGAGGGAAGGAGAATGGAGTGCTCCCACTGCCAGGAACTCTGATTAGGCAGAGAAGGCGGCCATTATCCCAGCATAGTCAGAACAGGCAACACCAGGGGGGGTTGGTGTGACACACTGGAGAGGTTATCATGACTGTAGGAGGTTTCATTAGAACGAACAAATCACTGCTTTACATGGCTCGATGGAGCTGTCCAAAAGCCGAGGACAGAAGAAAGTCTGAGTGTGGCCTTATCATCCAAAAGGGAGATGAAAGCCATGAATTAATTTTACTAAAATGCTCCATTTAAACAGTATGTATGCAAATAACTGAGCAAAATAACAGACCCTCAAAGTGTTATTTTGAAGAGCTACTTAAGTGTGAGAAAGGCAGAGAGTTCAAAGATTTAATCTCAAAAGGATTGGACCTTTTAAACATCATGATGTTCGTGCACAAGCTTTGCTCAGCCGAGCTTCTATAAAAACCTTGCATTTATTCAGACCAAAGTATTAGTCCTGCAGGGGACGTTTTCTTTATTTTGATTGATGTTATCGGGACGTGAAGAGGATTTCAATAAATAAGATGTAAAAAAGTGTTTCAAACGCAAATCACCAACCCCACCTTTGATAAAGATCTAATACTCCTTGACCCAGGATGTGAGATATTGCAGTATTGCTTTAACATGTGATAAGCAATATAAAACAGTGGACAGAATTTCTTTCATAATGTAAATTTATAGGATTTCACAGCCTTGCGATATCTTTTCTGATCAGATTATTCTAAATGAGACATCCCCTTTACCAACTAAATCAAGTATGAAGAGTTTTTAACCTGTCTACGAAAAATAATTATTCTGTCACTTACTAATTCAGATGTACAACGCTGATCAGAAAACAAACAGATGGAGAGACAGAAAAGAGTTTACCTGGACCCGTCTGGCAGCTTCCTATCAAAGGAGGTGCTTCGCGGGATCGCTGCCTGGTGCTGCTGAAGGATCTGCTGGCACTGCAGGCGATCGGGGCCCTGCGTTGGCGAGCCTCGGGACAGCGCCGGACCAGCAGTCGTGGGCACGCGATGCCAGGTGGTGTTTCTTCTGAAGGGGGTCTTGTACTCGCAGGGTGTCCCCTCGCTGTCGACCTTATACTCCACCATCGGTATGCGGTAGAGCTCGGAGCAGCCCCTGAGAGGGGAAGAGGGAGGATGGGTGAGGAAACAAGGGTTAAAGGTCAGCAATGAGGGATGACACTGTGATAGTAACATCTTACTTTAATGGTAAGAATCTCTTACGATAACAGCATCTAAAATCTTAATCCCAAGGGTGTCATTTTTAAACTACCTGTGATTAGTACATTAATATTGGATCAAAGCCTTTTTATGTAATCCGTTTATACTACCACATTATTTCACTATGAAAACATCAGCCATATGTATATATCTACAGTTAATTAGTTAATAATCATGTCATAAATCTTAAGAATAGGAAGATATCAATAGCTCCTTATTAGCCATTGTAATTGTTGCATAAATCCACAATAAAATATTAAAATAATTAAAGGTAATATAAATATATCATGCTTTTGCATTGCACTACATATTATTATGCATTCAGGCTATGAAACTAAATGGACAATCCAATAACATTTTGCTGTTGTACTCCCAGCCAGCTTCTTTCCACTGTACAACAACCGTTGACCCTGATCTCCTCAGTAAAAATTGGTGAGGAGGGGTCCCTTCTGTTACCATGACTACACCACAACACACTATTGCTGTCAGAAATATTTAGCCGGAGGCTGACATCTAGAGATAGTGCCACACACATGCCTGCACACAGATAACAGGCACACACATATATAAACATGAATGTGCACACTGAGGGCTTAGGAGAGATACCTGGAAAACTGTGGAAAACACTTTTCCCTTTTTAATAGAACTGAAAATCTCAGCTTGCCGTTAAATGAGACGTGGGCCTCCCCTGAGTGGCTCCACACAGGAGGCTTTAGCCCCGTCCACCTCCATCCCATTACTGCTAACAACACTGAAGATCTCTGGGATGGACAAGGCCTGTGATGCCATTTCATGCAACATTAATCTTCGGGGCTGGGCAGAGGCTTGATGTGTATGTTTGGAAGAACGGGGGGAGGGGGTTACAGGGAGGTGGGTCAGGTTTAAACAGCCTAGGTACTCTGCTAGCTCTCCAAAAGCATCTCAAGCATGACCCTAATGATAACACTACCCTCCCCCTCCAAAGTCGATTTTCTAGGATCCATTGCTGGTGGGGTACTGGAAAATGTGTATACTTTGCTGCGGTCCTAGGTGTACACACAGCGGAACATGAGGAGGGTGCACTGGCTGATTGCAAAGGCTGCGGTGGAGGGGGCACATAATCCCTTTCAGAGACCCTTTCATCAAACTGGGCCATGGGTGGCTGGGGCTGTTTGCAGCCTGCTTCCCACCAGGGCAGTGGGTGTTATAAGATCTAACTAGAAGATCATTCTTCACTCGTCACATGTCTCTCACATCTGGTCAATGTCAACGCCAAGCTGTCCTCATCAATGATGAACGGCTGTCAATGGCATGTTCTACGTCCGCTACATCTCACGCTTTACATAATTCATTGGATGTGTGTAGGTAGCATGCATCGCTGGCTTGATATATGGGACAGTGAGCATAATGAGCGGCATTACAGACACTTCCGTGAATAGAAAAGGAGTTTATCTTGTTAACTGAAGCTACTATAAGGTCAAAAACTCATTCACACCCTCTAAAATCTGGCTTTTTGTATGTAATGAGAATGGATACAATTGGCATTCACTCTTGAGTTGATTGACTTTGCAGTAGACCCAGTTTTTATCAGCCCAGGTCCTAATAGGGAGTGATATAGATGAGACAATTGAGTGAATGCCTATTTAGCAAGACAGCGAGCTGAAAGCACTTCTCTGTTTTCAGTATGTTTGTGATGCTTGTTACATGTTTATCCACGTAAAAAAACAGCGTATACCTGCTACTTTTGGTCTAAAAGTAAAATAGGTATCTACAGTATGTACAAGGAGCTCAGATATAACAGTTTTAACAGATACAATTATAGTCTTGTTATTCTTATTGTCACCCGTGAGGGCTTTAAATAACTTTATGTGAATCTCAGAGGAACAGGATGCTAACAAGAGTGTTAAATCCTTAACTATTAGTCAATTAGTTTTAAACAAGGCTACTAACCCACTCATTAGCATGATTAAGTGTGCGTACGTGTAGGTGGTCATGCCAGGTTGCTACACATCATTACTCTCTGAATAGGCTAAACATTGCTAACAGCTTGTCAACAGGAAAGGTCTCAGCTGTTGCCTCTCGCTGTGCTTTTTGCATCAGAAGGACTAAGCACTGACAAAATACATTTCTCTTATGATCCTAATGTTGTCCTCCCTGTTCCCCACAAGCTTAGCTGGAGGTGGAAACACCTCCATCCTTTTGACCTGAAGTATATGTGGAACGTGCTTCTTGTTCGTAACATATATGGTGGTGACTGAGCCTCGGTGTATAAATCACGGAGAAACTGCAGGAAACCTGTGTTTGGTCAACAGTTAAACCTGAGCTGGAGGCTGATGGTGGACGAGACGCTGTTAGACGCAGTCAGCCAGCCATGAGGAGAGGGGGAAGTGAGAAATAATGTTTCCTCTTGATTCCATCAAGAGCTGCTGTTGCACTATTCAAACTCATTGTGAGGTGATATAAAGTATACTATACTGTTATCATAAGTTTGTAGAGAAAAAGGAATTCTACAGCTTAAAACTAACATCAAGTCAACTAAAAATACAGAATTAGCCACTGTGCCCAGTGGCTATTTCGGAACAAAATCTTGTCCTTTGCATACAGATTCTGTATTTTTACATTCAGAATCTGTTTATAGAGATAAGTAACATGACTAAAAGAGAACCAAGAGTTCAGCTCAGTTAGTGGCCTGTTATAGGTGAACAATCAGCTCCTTCAGCCATTGTCTCTTAACGAATTACAATAGATCAGTGTGACAACAGGACCTTAGACCTCAGAGAGCTGTCACTCTAATGACATGGCCAGCAACTGAGGGAGATGCTAATCCATTCCCACAGTCAGAGTCCATGTCACAGCAAAGAGCCGCAGAGGTTGTGACCTCCACAAGGCCTTTGCAGACTTTTGTCAAGAGGTTCATGAAATAATGTGTGCTCAAAAGTCCATAGGTTTGCAAAAAAAGAAAGAAAGAAAACCTTTTCCAGTGATTTCTTTGCAAACTGATCTAAAGGAAATAGGCTCCTGTGCATAATGTGATGGTATTAGGGCGAGCAATTTGTGATGCAGGCTCTCTGAGTTTTGGTTTAGCGGCACTCTCTTTCACAGGGTGTCGGCATGGGAAGTGAGAATTCCAGCTTAACTTCGGTCCAGATGAGAATCCATGATGACAAGTCTGATGACACTTCAAAGCAAAGGTCACAAGTGGCCTTCTGAGTGTCACAGGCAATACTCATTATCAGCAGGGGTCTGGTGCAAGTTGAATCCATTTAGATTCAGGTTAGCCACCATCTCAAACATAAATCTTAGTGATCAAAACCTAAAAATGTACAATATGTTATAATAAAAAGCATAAAAGAATGGTTCTTTAGAACACACATGCTTCTTGTTTGTGTTGATGTTTCTGTGTCTTGTAGTAATCATTCATTTTAGTCCATATTGTACAGATCCCTTTGTTTACACTAACATCTCTGATGACCATATACCAAAACATACAATCAGTGCCATGTTCTGTACATTGCATTCCTGTTTCAAAGAGCTAATCTTTTTCATCCTTTTCTCATTAGTTTGATCCAAGGCTAACATGTTGAACTTGTTTAAAAGCCTCTCAGAGTGATGATGGAAAAGCCTCTGGTATTGCACTGGGCTAAAAACCACATCCTGCCTCCAGTGTAAATAAATTCAATACTAGGTAAAGCTAATATTAGAGCCATATCGTCTCTGGCTTCAGACAGAGTGAGCAGGGAAAAACAGTTTAAAATATAAACAGCTTAGGGAGGTTTGCCACAAAACAGTGCTACACATTCATTCAGCATAATCTTAGCAGCCGGATGAGCCCATCAGTCCTCAATGAATCACAAACTTTATAGGATAAAATAATTTTTGACTGTGTATCAAAAGTAAAGAGGAAACACTCCCTCCAGCCCCTGCATGTGCTTATGAAAACATTTTTGCTTGTCATAGTAGCAGTGTGAAGCCAGGGTGCATTGTCTGGAGGTCATGAGACTCTTGTCCATTGTTGTTAGACTAACCCCCATTTCTCTGGCCACGGGGGACTGACTGGGGCCTTCTGGCCCCTGCAGAATTCCTTTCCTTTGAGATAATAGTGGAGAAACTGGAGCACTTATTGTTGACTGCAACACTTTAGCGACTCAAAGACGCAGGGGCGAAAAGAGTTGAGGGTCCTCGAGATTCTTCACCTGACCTCCCACCTCTTGGTTTATTGGAGCTATGGTTGAAAAATTTGCAGGGCCCTTGGAGCATTCGGTTCCCATGGGGTGACGATGAGAAATTGTGTCTCAGTAAGATGGAGAAATCTCCCAGTAGGGCTCACAACACACCAGTATGGTCCTCTACTATAATACCTACTAATCTGCCACATGCATCTGTTAGAAAACGCCATATATGGGTCAAGCTTAGTCCATCATGCATCTCACAGCCCATTATGAACAAACAGCATAGCATAGAGCTCAGTTTCTGGCACAGTGCTATGTAGAATGCATATTTTTAAAGCAATCTTTTATTGGCAGTCTAAAGTACCTTAACAGGGTTCAGTTGTGTCACTCAAACCAAGCCAGATGTCTTCCACTGGCACAGAGACTCTTTTACCAAATCCTTTATCCTGTCACCACATCTCCAGGGAGCAGGACACGTTTGTTGACACATAACCAGTTTTGGAAGATGCTTGTTTTGTACTGCTTCCTCCTTCCCTGCACTGCGATTATGATTGTATCATCATGTATCATCACAGATCGTGGTAAGAGGATTAGAAGTTGGTTCAGCCAGAGAGGCCTCTGTGTTGGATTCACAGACGAGGCATGTTAGCCCGCCATCTGGGAGAGCAAATATGTTACTCCTCTTGTTGCCAAACCAGAGCGCAAAGTTGAAACACAGTTAAACATTTGACGACTATTCAGTCTTTGACACATATACATAGATACACACAGCTGTTTAAGATTGTATCATCCAGAATATTTAGCAAGTATACATTAACATTAATATACACAAATATGCATGAGACCTAATCTTATCAAAATGCACAAACTGTGATACATTTAATTGTTGTTGTCTATAGGCTTTACATTTTAATGATAACCCAACAGAGAATGGGATTACGTGAAGGTTTGGTCTCTGCACAATGAAGTGGGAACAGCATTTGCTGGTACAGAAATCTGTTGGCCAATAGCACAAGCAAAACAAAGCTGCTGAAAGTGTGAGTGTGAACAAGTGATGGATATGATTTCACACACAAAACAAACAGATGTGCTTTCAGAACAAGCATTTTAGACAGACCTTCATCTCTTCCCATCACAAAAGATTGTTTAAAATATTCCCTCTTTTATTACAGGGACGATGGAATTTCCCCATGGGTGTGTGTCCCTAAAAAGCCCAAACACTCCAATCCTAATTGATGAGTGAAAGATTGGGTGAGGTTACAAAGAAGCAATCTGCAAATGTGAGCTATCAGACAATGGCAGCGAGAGTTGAGCCATTCATCAAAATGCTCCTCTCATTATCATTAGGGAGAAAACGCTGACTGTCCGTGCCTGCATGACTCCACAGCCCCTGCTGGAGTTTTCTCCCTGCAACAAAGCCACATCAATACAAAGAGCCGCTCTTCTCCAGAGAAATCAGCGAGAACAACATCAACCCTGCTGCAGCGAAAACAGTATGTAAGCATTTCTTTATGCTAATCAGCTCAAATATGAGAGCAAATGTCAGGCTAATTTACCCCAGCTGCATGGAAAAATGAGACAAACACCACTTCATACATTTTTGAGGAGCACCTGCTTCTGTCTCACAAACTGTAGCACAACAGCCTTAACTCAATGACAATAGTAAGTCTGCAAATGTTTAGACTACATCCATACTACGCTTTAGTTTGAAAATAAATGAAAACCTATTATGATATGCCTGCTGTCCCCACTACTCCAGAGTTTAAGAGTGGATAAAAATGTAAATTGGAATTTGGAAACACTGCTGGCCCCATTTTATTTTGAAAACTATGGGGCAGCGTTTTAGTTTGGACAGGCAGAAACAGAGATGTTTGGAAACAATGATGTAGACACTCACAACAGTCTTATAGAACACAACATAACCTTCCCCCTTTGTCAGGCTCCAATCACAGGAAAAAAACAACCAACATTAGCCTCTGCAACCAGTGTAGAACGCAATCAATTTTAAGGATTGCTTTATTAGCAAATAGGTGTTGTGCAGTTAAATTCTGCAATTTTCAACACTATAACTGCTTACAAGTGTAGAAGACAAGATTACTATTCGAGCAATCTGTGTGTACAGGCACATGCATGGGCAGTGTACACACGCCTGTGGATAAAGATTTTGAGTTTGTTTTGAAAACACTGTTTTCAAATGAAAACGTAGAAGTATGGGTGAAGGTTTAGTTTGTAGTCTAAGCATTCAGGTCAAAATAAGAGAACGGAGAGGATTTACCTTCGCGGGGTTCCGTCTTCATGAGGCTGGATAATGACCACCTTGACAGTGATGGAGGTGCGCAGCAGGTCAATCATTTGCTCATGAGTGAGAGTAGCGACGGCTACCTTGCAGATCTCCACCAGTCGGCTGCCCTGCCTCAGCCCTGCCTTCCAGGCGAAGCCAAAGGGCTCCACGTCGGCCACAATGCCCTCAAAGTTGACGTGGAAACCAAGCTGGCCGAGGCTGTTCCGACGCAAAGTTATATCTGATGTCTCACAGCCTCTGGTGGTGATCTGAAATAAAAAATTGAATACATTTGTACAAAAACGGAAATTGTTCTCTTGATTGCACTGATTCTGACATAAGGACATGACTTCACATAGACGTGGGCAGAAAACAAAAGTGTAAACATGAAATAGGCAGTAACCATACACACTGACACTGAGAAAACAAATCTTAATTTCCCTCAATAGGATCTTTCTAAGCTAAAACAGTATATCAAAGCATTGGGCTTCCTCAGTGTACAGTTTTTTAATGGATGTGTGGGATGTACTGCTCAAGTGTCAACACACACAGGAAAAATATTATTAGAGCAGAGTGAAAATCCTCTCCTTAGGCAAAATAATGTTTGTATGGCTCATTCAAAGAACCCTTCAAAATAGAAGTTAATGAGAGGGTACATCACAGAGCTAATGCTTCAGTCCAAAAATTCCACAGAGACAGCTAAAAGCTGTTTCTTTGGACACCAGCTACAGTAGCTCTGTGGGTGCTGCATGGGGAAATTAGGATCTAACTGGCCCCTGATACATGGACCTGTCCACAGATCTAAGTCTATTAGTCAGAATAAATGACTTGGAAAGACCTTGAGAGCAACGTTTGTACAAAAACACATCAACTGGCAGCTTGTGACGATCTCCTTCACCCCTTGATCTCAGAATTCTGCCAGAGACTTGGTGGACAGGCTCTGCTTGTTTCGTTGTGTTCTTGGATGAAAAGCTTAAAGTAGGTTTTGTGTCCAATCGTGGACTCGCATGCAAATTGAGTTGCTCGCTTTGCTCAAGGGAGGCCTGGCCTAATCTTCTGCTTTAATGTAATTCAGGTTCAGCTGAAGTTCAAGCATCGCTCTTGCTTCAGTTAAACACATAACCACAGAAGTGAGCAGAGATAAAAACACATGCAACTGTAGCCTATGTTCACCAGAGTGATATGAAGAGACTGAGCCTATAAATAGGCCGTGCTGCAGTGTAGGTGCACAGCAGAGCTGGACCTCTACGTTTTTTGTGACAACCACTGGAAAAAAAACTCATTGCATCCAATGAGCTTTAATCACCCTTCAGATTAGTCTTGGTTCAGTTGTGGGTGACTGCCTCCATTTGCCTCAGAGTGGCAGCTGGCTTCAGGGACACATTAACTCAGTCTATGGACTGTCAACACTAAAACAGATTCTCACACTGGCAGAAATCCTACCCAACTGTGTGACGAGGGACCCGAGACAACCATGATGGACTGTCATGCACTGACTCCCAATAAGAGATAACCCCAAAACTCATCATGTAATTAGTTCAATCATAGTCTCAACCTCAGTTAAACCTGCAATAAAAAATACTGACCGAAAAATCCAGTTTTCAAACCAGTGGAGTTAGAATGACAGACAATCACTCTGCTTGAAGCATTAAGGTCAAGAGAACCCAGAGATGTGACGTCTGAATGCTCTCCAGGGGCAAAGTCTGTGTGTAAATGGCTTGTGTGTGAGGATGACATCGCCCTGGGTATTTGGGTCCATGAATCAAACTGCCCTTTGATAGAAATTCATTAGGCTAAATAATGGCTTTCTAAATGCCTTCATCAGGAACCTTTATCCAGTCCAAGCACAAAATGAATGTGCCCAGATTCTGCTCTGAGAGGCCAAAATCCATAACAGCTGAATCTACCGGGACACTCATTATCTACCAGGAGGGACTTGTGGCCTGCAGAGTTATTTTGATGGGGAAGGTGACATGTGTGGGTGTCCACACGGAGCCTAATCATGGGCTCTTACAAATGGTGACATAAACACTACAACATTGCCCTTAAGAAACAAACAGTGTCAGCCTCAGTCGTCATTTGTCACAGAGTTTCTGGCATTGATCCTCAGCGAATGATCTGAGTCAAAAGTAGCTTTGACCGTAAATTGTCAATATCTAAATCTGAGACAGTGCCTGCTAATGTGTAATGACATTGTTGTATTGAATACACTTGGCATTTCAACGGTTAGTTGGACCAAACAAGCAAATATTAGATGTCACCAGGTATTATTTTGTTTTCTGGATGTCCGTCTGATTCTCGTGAATGTGATATCTCAGGTACAACCTAAGGGAATATTTTTAAAGTTGGCAAACACTTTCACTTAGACTCAGTGATAAACTAATTCGATTTTAGTTGACAAACGACACAGCTTAAAGTCACTGTGACCTCCATTATTCAGGAACCACAAGTCAGGAGCAGAAGGCTGCTTTCCATTGATTATAATTGTTAGGCAATTAATTTTCTGATCTTGTATTGTTTTATCAAGATTCAACTGTTATATGTTTGTCAGCTGTTAAAAAGCATTCAGTGTGCAAAAAACCTTATTATGTGTTTTCCTTATTTAATTTAACTGATTTGCCTCAGTCACAGAAATCTATAGTAGGCTACATACTCCATACCCGCACATACTCATACACACAAAATGGAGGAGAGTGGCTTCACTTTGACTTTGTTCTGGAAAACAAAAAAAACAGCAAATGAGGCAGCACCCGAGCCAAGATGACTTGTCTCATAAAAGCCGAACACGCGGCCACCCAGCTCAGCAACACCCTGGAGAGAAGGACTTTATCACAAAGCTTTTAGCTGTGCTCCCACACTCGGCTCCTCTGTGTGTTGCAGTGGACAATCTGTTCACTCTGCCTCACATTACATCACAAGTCCGGCAGCCTGTAAATCCCGGCAATGAAACATGATTCGAGTCAACGTCTGGGTCGTTTAGAAAAACACACACACACCTTTGGGAAAAGGAATGCGCAATCAACTCATACGCAAACTTACTTACAAATATACTGTACCGCTGCTGCTCCACTGTCTGTGTGAGGACTAGCAACAGCCACCAATTTATTAATACTTATTCTGAGCTTCTCCTGTGAAATATCCTTCACAAATCCCGTGGGTAAGTGGATAGTAAAAGTGAGAGGAGATTAGCATAGAAAAGGAAGAAGTGATGTCCTTTGGCTAATCACAAATGCTAATATATCCTGCTCTGTCCTTTCCTAAGATGATCGGTGAAGACACTGAATGACATCCGTGTCCTTCATAGATTAATTATGGTAAATTATTTCACAGGATCTTGTTGTTTTAGAGGTGGTTGGGATATGCAAGACTTTAGTGCTCACCTGAACATTTATTTTTTTTAAGCCTGTCTAAAAATAGTTCATTTCAATATGGGTTGATGAAAAATGTGCAATTATCTCCATCTATCCTTTTCCTAAAAGAATGACATTCTTGCTTGGTTGTTTAGCAGGAAATTGATTGCTATTACCATGTCATTGGCTGCAGCAGTGTTTTTCTGGCGCGGGTTTGCTGGAAATTTGAGGCTGCCAAAGAGGGACTGTGAGGGATAAGTGGATGAGAGTGTGCAGGCAGGCAGACAAAAATAAGGTCATGCACCGCTCAGGTTTGGCTTTTGGGATTCAACCTCAATATTATTTATAAGGGGAAAAGGTGTTGCCTGATGAGAAGCTCAGTAAACAATCGATGGAAACACCAAACACGAAAAAACAAGCCTCGACGCCAACACAGTGATTGTAACAAGGCATCGAGTGAGCATCCAGATAAAGGAACCTTTTTTTCTTAACGTCAGGATGCCTACACCCACTTGACCCCCTATGTCGTACAACGTGACCAGAGTTGTACAGATGGCAGAGGCAGACTTACAAAATGGGGAAAAGAGGGCTTGGACTAAATGGGTAGATCTCAATTGGAGTGAAGAAGTCTTGAGGTCAAGTGTCCTCTATTCTTAGTCTGTCAGACCCAAATAATGTGTCTGCATTTCCTCTCCTCCCCATCGAAACTGGGTTAGTGTCCTGTTTAAACTGCCTCCTCCTGTACCTGCATCCAAACAACACAAGCATGGCCTAAAATCACATCATTGCTAACCTTTAATTCCATTAAATGTGTTGCCTGCTGCAGGGGACAGCTCCGGCTTTGATTTTTTGATGAAAGTGTTGTGATGTTTCATAATGGTTTGTCCTGACGAATAGACGGACAACCTTTATAACTGTGTGACCTAAACGGCTGAATGACCGCAGAGCCAAAGAAAGCCAAAGGAAACAACAGGAGGTCTATAATCCTCACTGCAAAGTTTCATATTCAAATGACACTCCTGTCCCTGTGTAACCCAGAGAGGACCAGGGGAACGGGAGGATGATGTGAGGGAAACAAGGGAATTTTTGAATATCTCTGAAAGCCATAGTCTTACAATGTTGTGGAGGAAAGGCATGAAACAAACAGAAGGGAAGAAAATAGCAGAAGCTCAGAGCACATGAGAGTTGACAGGATGCATATAGGTTAAGTAAGCAGCGGTTCTGCAAACTTAATGACGAAAATAAAATAACAAGGTTTGTGGAATGTAGTAAAGCTACAATGGCAGGAGAAACATTTGCAGAATGTTTTGTTTCACCACAGAGGGACCACAACTATCTTAAGGTTACCAGACTCACTGCACCATTTAAAGCAAAGAGACAATTTTCCTTTATACACCATGCAGCTAATGTGTTTTAGACTTGGAGGGCAATTGTCATGACAGACTACTATTTCCTGTCTCATGAAATCACTTTTTGTATGAAATACACTAGGAAACTCCTTTTTAAAACAAAACAAGGGTGTATCTTTCTCATTCTTAGATATTAGTACTGAGACTACTACCAAGAGGTTCTTATATATTCAAAAAAAGCTGTATAATTAGTGTTCAACAAAGATGCAACAGCAAAACTAGAATGGCACTTTTTAGAGTGCATCTGCCAAGGGGCCATATATCGCAATGTTAAAGAAGATGATATAAAAATCTTTTGCTGGGATCATGCCAAAAGTTAATAAGTTCTTTATTGGCCCATGACCCATCTTTACACCAAGTTTTGTGGAAATCCTTTTAGCACTTTTTGCATAACCCTGCTAACAAGCCAACAAACAAACCAAACAACCAACCAACAGACAGGGGTTAAAACACAACATCCTCGGTGGGGGACAATTGTGTTGTCTTGTCATTTACAAAATCAGTGACCAGACTGAGAAACAGGAGACAAAAACAAATGATTTTAACAGTATTTACATTAACTGATGTCAAACTATAAGAAGCAACCCTCAATTAACCACACACAGTGTAAACAGAGTGAATAGAGGAAGGCGATGCTTTAAAAACTGATTTCAGTCTTTTGTTCTGTGAAATCTCTTTGTGTGGTATTATTTGATACAAGCACTGCAGACACTGTGCTACAAAAGGATCAGCTCGTCTTTAATCCAGCAGACATTAAGACTTAAAGATGAGAGAGATTATAATAATTGAGCCTTCAAGGGTCTTACCTCTAGTCTTTGCACCATCTCCCTGATGTCTTCTCCGCAGTTGTCATGGGCAGACAGCATGATACACTCCCCACGCTCATAGAAGATCTTAATGCTCATAATCCCTGAGGTCCATCCAATGACGTCGCGACAAGAGCAGTTGAAGACAACGTTTCTCGATTCCTCCTCAATTAGGACGATGAACTCGTTGGATATGCCTAGCAAGCAGTCCACGTCCATCGATTGGCCGAAGTCCCGGGTGCGGACACTCCAGGTGATGGCCCCCACGCTGAGCAGATGTGCGTCCTTCCTCGGTTTCACCTTCTCCTTCTTCTTGGCTCCGAGGGTGATGAAGCTGAATTTGACAGCAGAGTCAATAGTGGCAGTGCTAACAAAGTTCTCCGCCAAGTCCTTCAGGTACTCTTGCCGTGTACGAGTAGCCATGGCTCGGAACTTCTCTGACTTGTGTGCGGCATTTTCTCCGTTGATGACCTTGGCAAGCAGGAAGTCCCTGAAAACTGCTGATTTAGGGAACGTTACAGACTTGGGAATAGGGGGTCCAAAAGGAGGCACGTCTTTCGACCTGGACACAGCGACACTGGAAAACAGGGTGGAACCAATAAATCAAATGAATTGGTAACATTAAAGAGAAACTGTAAAGAAGTGAGAGCCTATTGAACTATGTATATAATGAGCAACCATTTGATGTGTTAAAATTACAGCATATGGCTTAAGAGAAATTATTTCTGGTGGAGCACAGACTAATCTCGCTCCGTTCAGCAAATGCTATGTTATTAAGAAGCGTCGTCATGACTTCAGAAACACTCGAGTTGAGTCGTAAGTCATGATTTCAAGGTGTCTCTGAAGATAATAACGGTATCATCACTGAACAGATCAAACAGCGCCTAGAGACTCCAGCACATTACTATGAAGTCGTGACAGAAACCACAGAAAGCACTCAGCAGGGTATTATTATTATTCTTTCAAATTAAGTGCTGTTAAAAGTTCCTGAAGAGCCATTTGACATGAAGACATTTATGCAAAGCTCATCAAAAGATAAACATATTTCCTAAATTGTCTAGAGGATATTAATGTGACTCATACTGTGGTGAAGCTCACTTATACTTGGTGGTTTGACTCGATGACACCAAATTCAAATATTGCATATCGACCCTCTCCTCCTGGATTTTTGACGGGTTAAATAGCTGAAATAGCGGAGAGAGCTTTGCATGCATGTGGAGTATGCTTGTCCTATTTACCTGTAGCAGACGTTATCGGTGCAGGGGTTGTGGACTTTGACGATGACAAACACATGTTGGAAATGGGAGCGGATGTTTTTTGGAGTAAAAGGAAGGGCCCCGGGCTCCTGAAACACTATGGTGACGATATCATTGCCAATGTGCCTCTTCCTTAATAACTGTAAAAAAAGAGGGAGAAAAAGAGTCAAATAAAAGATGACAGAAAAACAATAGAGGGTGGATACTGTTACATAGATCAAGTGAGGAAGGTTTCAAAATCACATTTATTGAAATGAGAATAAGAAACATATCTTAGGCCCTGATCCCACCTGGTATTAAGATCTGACCTGAGAGATCCGCTCACAGGTGGACAGTGTTAAGTTTGTCTTTAATGTGTCTCCTGTGACCACTTGTGATTGAAATTCATTAACCCGCTCTATTTGCAAATATACATGTCAAAATCGAATTACGTTGTTTGACCCAGTTTAAGTTGTGTCCAATGACAAAGTTTGTGTGTGTCAGCATGAGAGAGAAAGATAGATCTTAGTGTCAGTCATTATGTGTTGGTCAGTGTTGATCAACAAGTCAACGTATGTACACTGAGAAGTTCACACGTCTACTTGCGCTGACCTCATCTGAATGGAGTCATACAAGCAATAATGGGAACAAACACAAGCTAAGGTAAAGTCAGTCGTCTTTGAGACTGATCTGTGTGTTAATGTTTAGTCTTTGTCATCTGTAAATAGAGATATCATGCAGGTTTTGTCATTGAACACAACATAGCTCTATGTTTTGAACCTGAAATATTTCATCCAAAATCAGGATAAGAGGCTTTTGGGGCAGAAGAGATTCTATTCAATTGAATTTAGGCTTTTTGGATGAAGGAGGCGTATTCTCCCAAACTCAATTTAGCCTGCTTGTATTGTTGGATTGTGTAGATAGTTAACCTCATTCTCTGGCTGGAATAAAGTTGTCAATGAGGGTCAGCGAGAGCCAAAAACGGGCGGGATTAAAGGGTACAGAGGTGAATTGGGAAGGATGAAGAGATGAGTAAGGCAGGCTCTGCTAGGGTCTGCTGGAAGATTACCACCGTGGATTAAGTTAAACTATCCCACTTCATGGAACAGTATTGTAGAGTAGAAAAGAAAGGAGAAAGAACACCCCCCCCTCCAAAATAAAATCCTGCCAACCAGACGCACAGGGCAGATTAGGTCTTTGCAGTGGTTCAATGAGGATACTGCCTGATTCCACACAGTCACAATTCTTCTGTATACGGGGTTGTAACAGATTTCATTATTGGGTCAAAAAGTACTTCTATACAAGCGGAGCAGACACTGAGATGAACCTCGGTATTTGCAGCTTTATCAGACCATCACTCGCCAGTCCACCGCTACATCCACTTAATTCCACTTGTTAGTGTAGACAGAAACAGTGGCCGATCTAAATACCTCATCAGGTCCAGCCCCTGGGGATGCATTGATTAAAATCCAACTGTGGGGTACCGTTACCATAGCAATTGTCGTGCTTTCTACTGATAGGTCATTATCATGGCAAAATGAGCCACTGGGGAAGATTGGCAGTAGCCGAGGAGAAGATATCCAAAAAGGAAGCTGCTTGGGGACTTATTACCTCCATTAGTGACTGGCTCACTAATCAGAAAAGCAAACATTGTGGCCTGTTGAAGAGGATATAGTGCAAAGTGTAGAGTTTACTGACCTGCTGTCTGTTGTTGGGTGTGTAGGGGAGCATGGTGGACACGTGAAACATCAGCTCATAGTCCTTATAGGTGGTGTAGAGAGAGTGTGTGCCCGTGGAGTCGGCTGCAACACAGGAAAGAGGGTAGTTTTGGTCTCAGGCCTACTACAAAAGGCTGTTGTATTAAACATGCAGATGATGTTATTGAATAGAAATCAAGATACAGATATATAGGCTTTAGAAAAATATTACAGCTGCCAGAAAGCGATATAAAACAAAGCAGAGCATCTGCACTCAGCAGGATTAAAAGTGCGTGGGCTTGCTCTTTGTGAATGTTTAGTTTGGTGTGTGATGTGCGTTTTATCTTACTCTTGTTATCCAGCTGAGCCCTGTACTTGGTGAAGCCCTTGAGCCGCACCCTCTGGCCGAGCAGATCCAAGAACTCCTCGAGCGCCGGGCCTGCGCTCTCGTTGTTGTACATCTCCTCCTCTGTGCTCTGGCCCGCCTTGCAGTAGAGCACCCCCACCTTGTGCTGGAAGCTTAGCTGGAATGAGAAGCACACGCAGACACTCGGCGAGTGAGTATCATTTCCTGTTGCAGAGGATATATCACGCGCCACACTCATACATACTGTACATTATGCACTCAAAGCATGCAAGTGCCCACTTTCCATCAAGTCACAGCTAATGTGAAGGCATTCATAAGCCTTCTAGGAGAGAGAGGTGAAATTCGCCTTTGTGCAACCAGGCTGTGAACTCTGAGGAGCTCGAAGCAGGGCATAAATCAGGCCAAGCTAATAGCAGCTACTTAAGAGCAGCTGTAGAGCAATGAGGGAGTGAATTACAGAGATATAACAGGATAGCTTTGGTTTATGGTAGAAAACTTATAAACTGCAGGCAACGGCACTTTAATCTTTGCAAAAAAAAGATGTCCTCGAGCAATGCCTTTGTTTGGCTAAGTCCTCACAGAACAGCAATAATGCTGCTCTCCCAACCTCCCCACTAGTACAAGTAATTCTCAATAAAACCTCAATAGAGACAAATGTCTTCTCACAAAGAGGAATAGTCATAGACACATACCAGACAACCAAATACCACAGCTTTTCACTGCAAGAATTAATATTATGCAGCACCGACAGGTCTGATATGAAGTCAATGCGTGAAGAAGACAGGAAGAAATAAAACATCCCAAGTGATTCTTCTTGCACAGTGAAAGCAAAATCCCTCTCCACTGGCATCAATCTTTTATTTATGGCATTTATGGCTTATAGCTCACTGATGCTGGCCAACAAAGAAGAAAAGAAAGAGTCAAAGGAGAAAAAACAGATGAAAAAATAGCCCCCCCTGTGTTTAGCACCTGTTGCCCAATATTCACAGCTGAGGACAGCACCTTGATCTTGACCCAGGGTCGAAGTGTCAATGCGGCAAGAAGAAACGGGTCCCTCTCCATGTGAAAGTCAATGAATGGCCTGTATACTAAAACAAATTGGAATTGTCTTTTTCCTCCGTCACAGGTTATCAGTTCCCGGTGCGCTCCTGACACTGTTGTCATGGTGACTTCCCCCTCTCAGGCTGTGTGCTCGGCACTAAAGCTCCCATGGTGCAGCAAAGCTATTATACCATCAAGCCCAGTGGAAATGGCATGATGTGCAATGATGTGGTCTTCTATTTTTTATCCCATATTATATGGGCTCACTTAACCCGCTGCTCCTCTTAACAGACTGGCCGACGGCAAGGACAATCGCATTGCCCTTTGGTTGCGAATTTGTCGCTGCCTCAGAAAGTGCAAGCACATCAGAGCACACAAACACATACACCGATGAGTAATGCTCCTGAAGTGAGGCTGATTCAGTAACCGGCTTTGATGTCTTTTCTGGTGGCATCAGCTTCTAAAAAAGGTAGAGCATCCATAAAAAGCCCTTTTAACGGATGTGCGACTAACTCAAATATTCCATTTAGGGTAAATCTGAGCAGACCTTGCTAGAAAGCAGTAATTTTCTCTCTCTTTATATATTTTCCTCATATTTTGACCTCTGTCTTTATCCATCTATGCATTGCTGCAGGGTGTTGAAAACTATTTGCATGAAAATAAAATAAACGGAAAAATACTAAATTAGTTGGGAGAGAGAAATGAGGACAGTGTTCCCACAGGGGAAAGCTGAGATGCACCTGAGGGATACAGCAGTGTCCTAGCACAACACACAACATTACAATGACATGTGTCCGCACTGCAGTGTCCCAATGCAGCAAAAAAATCCAAAACGTGGCTACCAAATCCTCCTGGCTACAATCACACAGCACGACTACGCACAAAAACCCTATCACCGCTATTGGGTCACAAATGAAAACAATGGAAGCAACACCTAAAAAGGAGAAAGGTCACCACATAATTTCACTGAGGTAATCCTGAGGTTTTAATATGACAGGGGACTGATTTCCTTAAGAGAGAATTGATTTTTGCTCTCTGCAATAACAGCATTAGTAGGTGGTCGATTACTCTTTTCGACATGAGGATCAAATCTCACTTTGAGGTCAGAGATCCTCTGGAGGATTCAGTATGAGCGAGAGGGCGTGTTGATGACGTTTCTAATACAGAAGCAAAACTGGGGGGGGGGAACAAAATGACTACAAATATCTTAGTATAAATAGAAGTGTTATAGATGTAGAAGACACAGAAGAAGATGTCAACTTGGAAAGACAACAAAATTTGAGGGCCTGTGGTGATACAGGCTGATGCTAGTGTTGATGTGCTGTAAACAAAAACACATGATCTCTGCAGCAGACTTTAAAGTCCAGACCCCATTATCCTGACATGTTCCAGTGTTCATGTCTGAAAACAGCTTAGGAAAGAAATGAGCTGTTGCTATGGGAATCAGGACGGATAAAGGTTTTACCTGTTGATCATTGTGAGATCACAGCAAAACATGAAAAGCAGTAATGGAAAATGTTCTTTGTGTTATTATACAGAGCGCTTCAGTGAAAACGACTTTTCTGGGTTTGAGAGGTCATTAGTTTAGCCTTATTGAGAGTAAAGATTATTAGCCTTTGTCTGCCCTGGTTTCAACACACATTATTATTGGTGTTATATTTTTTAGAGGCCACGGGGAAGCCATCTGGCTCAACTTTATCTTGTTCACATCGTCCGTTATTATCAATAATTATATCAAAAGCCGAAAACTACATTTTAAATTTTGAATCTGATGCAGCTGATGAACTTGTGTTTATATTAAACACAAATTCTGTTATTTTACTTTAGATGGTAACAACAGATACACTTTATTATCAATGGCTTCCTTAGAAAAATGTGTAGTTTGTGATTTTTATCACCTAATATCATATCTCAGAATCTAATTAACTGCCTAATGCTTTTTCCAGTCCGTGTGCACACAGTTAGTTCACTGTGATCTACAATGTGATCTAAAATACATTCACATATGCTCAGTTCTCCGCTTACGTTCCGGGGTCATTACAGCAGAGTAGACTACACTGCTCTCAGGGATATTTCTTTCTGCAGAACTGATCATGAGGATATTGTAAAGGCTTTCTTGCTCCAGGATACTTTCTCTCACCAGACGTGGTTCCTGTTCTCACCAAAAAAGAAGCCTTTGCACACACGCACAAAGAAATATGATGATGGAGAACAGATGAAGCTTTTTCGATGTGGTAGAAGAAAATGATGCACTCAAACAAAACAGCTCTGGCACACGACTCAGCTCTAGTTCTTCCTCGACAACACATTAAGGCTGCAGAAGTCCAGCTTGGTTAAAAAAGTAGATTAGTGCGTGGTTGACTTATTAAACATTTGCATGGGTTGCATAAAATTAATGATTAAAACAGGGGTGCTTAAAAATACTGATGTCCAAATATAAACCCGGCCTCCACTGGGCGTTTGGTTTGAGGTCTGCGAGGGGGAGTGCCAGTTGGAGGAACTTTAAGTCCCACTTAGCCTGAGCGCTCCACCTCCGAAAAAGTTGTTCCTTACATGACTTTATCGCCTTTTTTCCACTCTGTGCGTCAGTTTCCGTCGAACTGCAGACAGTATCTCATCGCAAAGGCATAGGGAGCTGTAATGCAGGTGAACAAACTCCTGTATCGGCTCCCTGAGATCCGCCAGGAAGAAAAGTCCAATAGCACTGGATCCACAAAGTCTGTCATCGTCTTGAGAGCATCTAACTTGCTCTAGAGAGAACACTTCACTGCTCTTGTTTATATGTGTAACAAAATGTAATATAAAAGAGGGACATGGCTGACACTTTCTATTATAAGAGCCTTTCCCCTGTCAATTGGAAGGATGGGCTTGTGCAATCGAAAGTAATTACACTAATTAGCAACCAATGCTCTGATTGTAGGACATGCAGTGCAGTACAAGCAACCCCCCCACACTCATTTCCATCATGCAGTTCCATTAGAAGAGAAAATAAAGGCCTTAAGATCACACAGTGAATCCATCTCTAACACCTGTGAATATAGACAGTCCACATCACTGATAGCTACTTTCTTCAAACAAAGATAATGCAAGGTGACATCCTCACCATCCAGGCTGAATACCAAATCACTCGCTCTCAGATGAAGTAAGTTGTCAAAAGTGAGTTCGCTTGCACCTGCGTGTCCTTTTAGCAGAAAGAGTGTGTCAAAGTAGTCGATGCTGTCCACAGACAGTCGGGTATTGATTTTGTGTAAGTGTGATATTGGCTGTCTTATGCCACCACCTGGGAGCCTGTCTTCATCTATAATAAGCAGCCCACATATGGAACAAAGGTTCCCACAATCTGAAGTTAATCTGTACTCAGGTTCCTTCTGTAGCTGTTGCAAACGTCAGGAACAGACAGATAAGCTTTGAATAGAAAATATATTCTGTAGTATAAATACAGTCAGTCATCCTATCACCCAAAACATTATTCTTAACACTGATCTACAGCAGAGTATCTTCAAAAGAAAGCTGTGGAAAAGATGTGTAGGGAAAGGGGGAATAGGTAACACTTTTCCCTTCCTTTAAGGATTTGGCCCATTTGCCAAACATAAAATGATAAGATTTACATATCATATAAATCACTTCATACCTTTCTCTTAAGCTGCAGCCAGCAGCAGTTAGCTTAGCAAAAATTAAATCACGAATAAATCAGAGTACAGGACACTCTGCGGTCAGACATTTGAGATTGTCCACAGCAACTGACATCGGACATTTGTGTTCTCACATAATTATCAAGAGTTCAGTGCAGTGCTTTTGGGGGTCACAAAAGGTGGTTGACATGAGGGCAATCTAGAGTTACTCACCCCCTGCTCGTCCAGCTTCAGGAGCTGTTCCGGGACCTTCGGGGAGTTGAGGGCCAGCCTCAGACACTGGATGTTAAGCTCAGGAATTACGTACTCGAGCACTTCTTTCAGCGGCAGGCCACGGGCCGTCCCGTGTCTCGCCGTGGATGGAATGGCATCCTCCAAGATTGCTCCACGAAGTGTGGTCAGCTGTCAGGAAAGAAGATGATCCTCCAGTTAATTAGCTCAACAGTCTGTTGAATGTTTTTTAAGCTTCAGGTCAGCTCTTTTATACTAATGTTGAAGTAGAGCAGATTGGATACATTTCATTATCCAAAATGTTGGAAATGGGAACCGTGCTGACAAGCCTGCTGCTGTGTGAGTCAGTCATAATATCCTTTAATGTTGTGGCTTATTATTTAGAGCAATGGCTCCATTACAGCTCCATTGGAAGGCATTATGATCTCGCAGTCTAAATAATTAAGACAGGCTAACTGAACACAAGATGTTAAGTGGTATTTTGCTGTTAGGACCATTAATGTTCCCGTAAACATTGACCCAAACAGCCTCCAAACACCCACTCTGAAACAATGTGTTGTTGTTTGCAGCATCGCAGACAGATTTACGTCCATAAATCCCATTTCCATCTGTACAGCCTGTGGACATGAACGTCAGCAGTCAATGGTGGTCCGACAGAGAGGCTTTCTGAAAAGCAGATTACTTAACAGACTCAGAGAGGGAGGTAAAGTGAGAGTGGGGCAGAGAGGCTGAGAGCTCTCTGGCTAAATGATGGGAGCACATGCAAATAGATGCTCCAGTGGTTGGGGAGTTAAAACATTGTCTGCGTGCTACTTGCAGGGCTACCATGACCCAGATACATTGTTTTATCGTGGGAGTGGTGCTTTAGACCAAGAATGGCACTAGATATCAGTGACATTTCCCTGCCTGACACATCTGTTGCACCTGAATTATTCAGTGGATGAGACCACCCAGCATCAATCAAGGAGAAATTTCTGTAGCCACCAGGGACTGTGAGATGGTGCATCTCAGTTTGTGGATTAATCATGTTGTGTGTGTGTGCAGGCGCGTGCATATGTGCATGCACACTGCCTCTGATAGACTGCATTGTTACTTGCATGACTGGCCGCTTGAATTACAACTGGCACAGAATCACTGGACACATTAGGGAGGTTCGAGGAGATTTGGGAAGGAGGAGCTGTGAGAAGTCTCCTCTTGTTTCAGGAGTACCGAAGCATTCCTGTATTCTTGTGCTGCTTGACTAAACCCTGAGCTCAGTGACCTTAACATGTCTCGCTGAATACAGTATATGAGAAGGATGACAAATATCCTTTAAAAGCATGCTCTTGCTAGAAAACAGTTATTTGATAGAGCGATAGAACTCACGCAGGTTTCTCCTGCCATGCATTCATAATAGCTCTACACTGATTTAAAACATTAGGCAGCAGACAAAGTGCTTGTCTGTGTTATAGTTACCTGACTGGTTCTGAAGGTGACCCGATGGTTGAATTGCATTCCCTCTTTCTCCTTTCCATCATCCAACCTCTCCCGGCGGATGCTGACTGCCACAGGTCCCAGATTGTCGTCTACCCCGAAATAGTTTTGATGCTCTTGGGGTGGAACAAGAAAAAGATCCAAATTAAACACACATTTAGAATTACATTGATTTTTCACATCGCACTACCAGAATTGAAAGCCCTTAATTCATAGAAATCTTTCAGATGTTAAAGATGTTTTCACATCACTTCTATATCAATTGAAATGACTCAGTCGATTAGTCTAAAAAAAAGCGCTTTGAAGAGTGACCGCGGGCGAGCTGCGACACTGATTACAGACAGCAGCAGGGGTCCGCTGGAGATTTGAAATTGATTCACTTTGGATTAGAAACTGGCTTGTAGTGGTGGCACTGGGTTTAGAAAGTAAACAAATTAATCAAAATGCAGCGCTGGAAAGTTTGACCCATCACTGACCCAAATACTTCTCACGATACAATCACATGTTAAAACGAAAGGAGTTTTAAGCACATAGATATGTATTTGTTCAGATTTACTCTGTTAAAGTTGAAAAACAGAAATCTTTCATACTATTTATTCCAAAGTCATTCATTCATAATCAGACCACATGCGCACGCTTCAGAAATGCAAGAGAACATATATGTTTTGGGGCTTTTTGTATCTGTATTCCTGGACTCACTCGCCTGACTCACACCATTACAAACAGACAGCTACTGAAAACCCAGGCTTAAACAGCCATGCTAAAATTAAATGGTACAGGAATAAAGCTATTGCTTTAATGGCAGATTGTTTTTATTGGATAATTGACTGTGGTGGGTGGAATGAAATATGGGGCGAGACAGACAAGACGAGGTTTCCTGGCTAGATATCAACCCACAATGCTGTTACATGGTATGTGCCTCAGACCACGAGGCCACCAGGATGTATTTTCAGTCAAGAATAAGTGATGTCAGTGTTTACAGGCAGGATTGGTGGATAGCTAGCTGGTTCAATGATAGTTAAACACAACATTAGCATTTACGATGATAACGATGATTTGTAATATTCCCTTGTCCTACACTTTGATCTATGACACTTTATCTCATATGCTGATTGGCAGATCTTCAGGAAATGTCATGGTCATAGTCATGATGCTCAGAGAGAATCTCCTAATGTTTTTGTGACCTCTTCACCCGTTCTACACAAAAAAATCTCTAATTGGCAGCGTTTAATAATATTTCCTCGTGATCTTTATGCCCCCGGGAGAATGAGCAATTTTTCATTTGTAAAAACTCAATAAAATTTTCTCTTTTCGTCACCCTCAAGTCAAGATGTTAATTTGTGCAGAATATGAATCATAACCTTGTGGGCAGATTGTCAGGAAATTTACAGATTCTAATAATGCTCCTGAGATGTTGAATATTTTAACCTGATATCTGTGGAGACGTTTTGAATCGGGGATGTCACTTGCATGCCTTTTGATTTTTTGTCCTTGTAATAAAATGTTTCACTTATTTTTGTGTTGATATAAAAATGCATTCTAACTGCTTAAAGGTCCAGTGTGTAAGATTTTGGTGAAATTTAATGTAGAATAATCCTCATGATGTTTTCACTAGTTCATTTCATCTAAATTGTATGAATTGTAGTTTTCTTTACCCCAGAAAAGGCCCTTTATATTCCAATACTTTATATTTACATGGAGGGGACCCTCTTTACAGAGACCGCCATGTTTCTTACATTAGTCCAGACTGGACAAACTAAACCCCTTTTGAGTTTTTATGTGTTTTTCATGTTTGAAGGAAAGGTGAGGGGTGTTCAGCTGCAAAATGCAATTTCAACACTAGATATCAAAAAATTCTACACACTGTACCTTTAAATCACTGTAAATGCGGTTCTCCAATGATTCTCTTGAGTTTTAATAAAGCAAGAAAATTATGATAAAATTGTTTGTGTGTGTGTGTGTGTGTGTGTGTGTGTGTGTGTGTGTGTGTGTGTGTGTGGTTAGGGCATGGACAGGAGCAGAGCTTTGCACACACATAGCAGTGCCTTGAGCAAACACTCCCTAATCCAGGCTAAAGCCAGGGAGAAAGACCTGGATTCAACAGACAACAAAATAAAAACCTCTATGGGGACACAGCACTGACATTCGCCAAGGGATTTCTGCACAGGTTGCATCCATGCCACATGCAATGTAAATACACTGGTTCTTTTCACCACGGCACCAACATTGGGGCAAAGTGCATATCAGCATGAATAATAAGTTAAATGTGTGGAGGCAACGCGGGGTTAACCTTCTGAGGAATGCATGGCTTGTCAAGGACAGTGGACTGAGGGGAAATGTTCTGTGAGGCATAAGGTCAAATGGTGGTAGGAGGGCTGTCTTTGCATATGAGGCCGCTGGCCATCCGAATACCGATGGCACAGCGAGAGAGAGTCAACTGTGGAGGGAAGCTTTTTGTTGATGCATTTCTTTAACATGTCACTGTTGTTCATCACTTGCTGTTGACAGTTTGCCAAAGGTTGCATTATGGGTGACTTTGATTGTCATGTCAAATAATGCTTCTTTTCCATCTTGCTGTCACTCCACTTTGCAGAAATTCATCAAAATCTTTAAAAAGTCCTAAATTGACTGCACGTCCTTACTTTCAAGTCATGAAGTTGCAAAACTTTACTTCAGATCACATATTTCCATTCCATATGATACCCAGTATATCTCTATGTCTAGTTGCATAAAGTATGTGACCATGACCTGTGTAACAAGGCTTGGCCTGGGGGTGTGAATGAAATATTGTGTCCATTAGGAGTGTCTGAAGAGAAACACTCCCGTTGCTAAGGGAAGGAGGGCTTTAGGCAATCAATAGGATCAATGTTCAGACCAGGTTGATAAAAGCTTGCCCGAAAGTGGTGACATGCTGTCATGTTTGTGTGAGAGTGTGCGTGGGTATGTGCCTGTTTTCATGTGTGTTTGCAGTGAAGCAGAGGTGACGACAGACTTGTCACTCCAATAAAACACCTCGTGAAAAAGGGCAAGGGCTAGATCCACACACTGAAAAAGCCATCTACCGTAAAAAACAATATCATCATCAAAACTAATCTGACAGCAACAAGGGGCATTTCAATTATGCATTGACCTGTGTTGCTACAGGAAAAGATTAAATACATAATATAGCTACAGCAGTTATAGGATGAGTAGTGAGTGAGGCAACATTTCACAATAAATGATGATCATAGTAACCTTAATGGTATATTCAAATGTACTGTAAGTGGAGCAGATCTGTAATGGTCTCATTAACCTCGAGTGAACCCTGGGTGTGGTTACACGCTGTCGCAAACTTCAATTCAAAGTATCTTTCTGAAGACGTTCAGGCATGTGTGGGAGTGAAAGGTGAAGCAGCTGTTTTCTACGGGGCTTAACAACGAGTAATTCAATCTGATGAGAGCAGCAAACACAGCCTCACAGACAGTGGGAAAAACAGATATGTATAATGCGGTGAAGGGTTACGGATTGGCATGGTATTTCTAGCATCAGTCACATAGGTGTTTTAATGAGGGGAGCTGGGACCTTGGCATAGTTTCACTGACCCTAAAGTTTCATATGAGGGGTCCTCACACCCCCACAGCCCCCATGGGGAACAGCTGCAATACACCCTCTCGCTCACCTCTCTCTTCTCACATGACTAATCACAGCTTCTCCGCAGGGTTCAGGGTAATATCACAGGGAGGACATGACCGCTCTTCTCCCAAGGAAGTGAAACACACACCCCTGCACCAAACACAGGCCTGCTATTGTTCTGGACCTTATTGCATCTAGTCCTACAAAAGTATCTAGGCCGTCAAGATATCCGACCCTATGAGTGAAGGCTGTTCGATTTGGGACATAGCTCTCATAGAGCATTGTCCAAAATTGGTCTAGGAAGTTTATTAATACTCAATAGTGAGTCATTCTGATACTCTTGTATCATCACTATACAATCTCTTAACACATAAAAAAAAATTATCATGAGGATTCCTTACCTTTTCCATAAAAGTACTTGTGGTAGTAGTATGCTCCAAGGTCAATGTGTTCAATGATGTACCGTTTGACCTTCTCCCTGTGGATTGGCTGGTTTTCTCGTGGGACCTCCAGGACAGAGACTCCTGCATTGGTGCAGTGGGAACTTAAAGATGATTCAAAAGAGCAGCTCTCTGTCACAGTACTGTAGTTGGCACTGTTGGCTCTGGAGAGAGAGATCTTCCTCTCGCCCTCACCACCGATCTCATTGCGAAAGTGTGGGCAGCTCAGTACTAGATTGCTACTCTTCCCGTCCCCGTCATCAACATCCAGGTTCTCTTTGGGGTTCAAGTCCTCCCTGCTGCCTAGTGGAGACTCAAACATGGGGACATTTCCACTGCTACATCCTGCTGCTCCACAATCTGCCCCTGATCCTGGTCCAGGCCCAAGTATGGAACCACCTCCAACAGCTCCAGGGACTGCCCCAGAGAGAGGTCCAGGGAGAGGTCCAGGCATAGCCCCAGGGATAGCTCCAGCGGAGGCAGCTGAAGCCCCAGTGGTTGTGTTCTTCCTCTGACTGAGGTTTGCTCTGCTGGCCACCGCCTCACTGATGTTAAAAAGAACACTCTGGACATCATAATGGGCAAAGCATTTTTGGAAGCTGAGTGGTCGCCGGTCATCCTCTAATGAGAGCCGCAAAGCATCACTCTCACTCTTTATGGTCCGCAGTTTCCTGAACAGAGATGTTTCAGATGATTCCGATTTGAGACGCCTCATGAAGGACTTCTCCCGCTCCCGGGTGTAGAGGAGAGAATTGTCTATGTAGTCATAGCCTGGAATGTGCACTATCTCTCCCCTAGCAATCTGGGCTGCTGTCTGCAGGCTGGGGGAGAGGGAGGCATCACAGCGCAACAATTCAGGGAAACCCAGAGGTGGTATGCTACGGTGGTCCAAGGTGTCCACTCGGTAGCCCCTAAGCATGGTGAAAAAGCCATCCCCACTCAGACCCTGACGGTCAATAGAGGATGTGCTGCCATACTCGCGGTGCAGTGAGGCCCCTGTGTTTGGATTGACAGCATGCTGGTCCATTATGTCCTCGGAGTCAATGTCACTTATGGTGACATCACTGTTGCTGCGTTGACGGATTGGGTGAAGACCCCTCTGTGGCGAGTGGCAGAGGAGGTCACTTAGTGTGTATTTGTCTGTATAGTCTATTTCCACACAAACTTCTTCACCCTGCTCAAGTAATTCCACAGCATGCTCCTGCTGGCCATTCTGAAACACTGGTATCACACTCTGGTAGTTGGGTGAAGGCCGTCCATCCCATCCATCTTTCCTTGGTGGCCATTCTGTCACCCTGGCCCTGACGCCCATTTTAGGCATGGCTGGAGTACCATTTGTTTTGCCTGAACCATCAGGTTTCCCCTGCATGTTGGTGGTTGGTGGTCCCATGCTACCATTCAGAGCTTTGAGCTTCCGGCTAAATAGCTCTTCTGACTGCATGGCTCTGGAGTATTCTTCTGGGGCTCCCACAATTCCCACAAGGTTTGATTTGTTATCTGTCACAGGGCTCAAAATACTCATATCCTGCTGGCAGACTCCTTGAAGAGCAGACTTTTAGGACCTTTGTACTTTACATCATGTGATTTGCACTGTGGTGGGTGGAGGAGGAGCCTCTTTCCTGAGTCAGTGAAGCAACCGTCGGCATAACTCACAGAGGGTGGCTGGCACGATGTTCGATGCACAGCATTTGGATGTCAAGGAAAAGTGTCTGAGGAGAGCTGAGGCACAGCCTGAGTTATTTCTCACAGGGCGCCGTCAATGTAGAATGACAGCTGGAAGAGGTGAACCTATGGTACAGAAACAAACACAAGAGAAAATGTTAACACACAGCTAGTGGGTTTTAATAAGGGAGGCATTTTCATTTACAAATACATGAATTCCAAACAGCCACAACTGAGCAATGAAAAGGATCATCCTGCTAACTTGAATAGTTTTATATCTGGTAATCTTGTTATAAAATCCCTGCATGGGGTACACAGGGCTGTACTAGTTCTGAAACTATGTAGTGCATCACTAAATGAAGTTAATTAGTGTATTGGAGAAGAGTTGATGACATTATGGGTTTATAACAAGATAGATGTATATCTTTGTTGGTGCTTCCAGCCAATGCCAAACAGATGGTGGTGAAGCAAATTACAGCAACAAGAGGCAGATGTTCAGCTAAGTGTTCACATGTACAGAGATCTCATCCAACCGCTTGCAGCAGCATCATCAAGCCTGCAAATTATACAGTAGGGATAGTGTTGCATATTCAACGCCAGTTCCATCTCTCCTTTTCTATCTGCAGTAGTTTGTTAGCTGGAAAATTAACACTGACCCAATGAGGTAAATTGGATGTGATGAATAAAAAACTGAAATGTGGGAATTTCACTGAAATACATCGTGTTGTACTCCACTACAGTGACTTTTAGAAAGTTTGAATGTTTATCCTTTTCCCCTTGTTCAGTTTTGTTCAACTGGGGACATTTTTAAGGCTGGGGTCAGTAGTTTTATTCATTAATCTGAACATCTGAGGACAGAGAGGAGAGTGAAAACAACTTATCCTTGAAAAATGACTTTGTTACTTCTATTATAGATGTCCCCGAACATCATCCACGTACACGTGTTGATCAAATAGCCTCAGTCAGCTGCAGAGGATGATTGTACATGAACAATGTAATAAAGACACTAACAAGGATTGTACTATGCAGACACTGGACTCAAGGCTCCAAAAGGAAAAGAGCAATTCAGCACAACATCCTTCTCCAATCGATTCCATCCCATTAGGTGTACTGTAGTTCCACTGGGGCTAAGTGTGTGAGGTGTTACACTGGATTCATCTCCTCAATGTCTGACTTCTGCATGAAAGCTTACACCACACCATGCCATGCCAATAAAAGAGAATGTGAGCCCTTCTATGTTGACCTAAATGCCTTTTCCTTGTTCTTTGCAGCTGGTGGTGTGCCAGCATTTCTCCTAGTCTTGCAACTATGTGAAAACCTCTTAGGTTACCAAGTAAACCCCACCTCTACCCCAGAGAACAGGGTACTGTTTTGTTTTTGCTCCAGAGAAGATGATGAGGTCTGTTTAAGTGATTCTCTTTATACTGTTTCAATGAGAAGATGATGCATTAAGTTTGCCCCAGTCTTAACTTCAGCTCAGTGAGCTGGCGTTAAACATGATGGCTTCTGTTTCCAGACAATAGTTTACATTTTTCTGTCATTTACTTTTCAGGAGGAGGATGGACTATTTTGGGAAGAAAATGTGGGCCACATCAAGATTAGCTTCAAGCCAGACTAGACAAATTCTCTCGGGGCGAGTCAGAAACATTGTTATACTAAAGTATGCTTCTGTGCCTAGGCCAAATACAGGTTAATGCATGCATGACCTAAATGTGTAGGAATAAACTAATACCTTCTCAGTTCAGTCTACTGCCAAACTATCCATAATCCTGTCTCTCTCATTAAAGACGGGTTTGGTTATGAAAACAGTTTAACTCACAAGCAGGGAACTGTCTGTTGTGTCACTGTATTTAACACAAGGCTTTGAGAGGAGAGCAAGATATTGTGTTGTCATGTGAATGCATAATGTAGCAACCAGCACTGTTCTGGGGGAATATGTTTGTCTGTTGCAGTTGGCAAATAATGAATAATGGATTTAAAGAGTGAGAGAGTGTAGTAGAGGCCAGAGCCACTCACATGGTTCATGTTTGTTATTATCTCCGAGTAAAACAATTAATCTGATTTGCACAAATGAATTCTCAAATTCAAAAACTGGTTTATCTACAACTCATAAAGCGTAATCTTGTCCTAACCTGTAATAATGGAGCACAACATAAACAGAGTTTATATAGAACTAGTGGAGTAAATCTGGTAATACTTTTTAAAAAGACAGTATTGTTCCTGAGGTATTGGTGTCATCCATCATCCATCTCCACTCTGTTTCTCAGACATGACAGGGAACAGAGGTGAGCATGGCACTCATGTTGACCATAACCCAGATGTCAAGTGTTGACTGAACACTGTCTTTTCACACACACAAGTAGAGCAAGTGACAGCAAAATGTGCCACCTGTGCAAACAGCTTCATCTGTGGTGACACTCTAGCCAAGACTTTCGCGGATGACTGAGATCAGGAAGAACAGAGAAGGTGACACACTGTAATGTCAATGCATAACAACAAAACAGCATGATGGACTCCGGCTCAAAAAGTTAGAGGGGTGTAGTGTGGTGAAAAGTGATGTTAAAAGTGCTCCTTTTTTAGAATCCTTGCACATTCTTTTTGTTCCTGGCTGTGTATTCTTGGCTAATTTTGCATCCAATCTTACCCACTGGTAGTGAATTCCCAGTAACAACAGATGAAGGAGACTTGTGTGTTTATGTTCGTACTGCCAGGCTTCTCCCAGACTGTGTTCCTACATGTGGTCAGGAAAGGGTGAGTTGGCCTTTATTTCATGTCGAGGACAGGACAGGATGAACCACTGATGTTGGTCTGCATTTCCCTTTCCTGCCTTCTATGAGCTACTTTCCCAAAGACAGTGATTGATAAACACAGTGGTACTATGTCTCTTTTAAAGGACCCAACACGATTAACCAAAGGAGTGTGCCATGAGCTATTGGTCAGCAGCATCTATCCTCTGTGTAACCTAAGGCTGTTTTCTGTCCTTTGCTTTGAGGCTGTGTGTGTGCAGATGGAGGGTGGGCGGTCTGCTTTACTAACAGCCCTTTATTACAGGAGTAATGCATCGCCATTATGGGTGTTTAAGACACAAGGCCTAGTGAACAGAGGGAAGGGATGGAGAAGCAGAGAGAAGGAGAGGCCTAAACACAGTAATGAACTCAATTTCTGTCTCTGATGTTCAATAGTCTGTCTTTCGTCTTGGTTCATCCAGAGAGGAGTGGCCTAGCACTTCTGCCAGGTCTGAAAATAATCCTTTGACACTGTGGCCTGATTAAAGACCCAGCAGATATTAATAGGATGTCAGAAAAGCGAGTGCGTTCTGTACACTATCCTGAGATTAATGCTCTGCTATCACTGATAGGCCATCTCCCTAAAGCAGGACACGAGGCATGATGTCAGTCAACTCTGGAAGACTCAACAGACTGACTGACTTCTCATTAGTCACTTCTAGGACTCCGCACAACTGTCACTGTGCGAGGACATCCCTCTGAACAAAGCTGCAGGATGCCCATTTGTTTGGTTTTGATGCAGCTCTTTTGGATTTCTGCAAAATGAGCCGGGTCCCTCAGATACTTGAACTAACAGTGAAAAAAAGGAAATAATACAATGAAGATTTATGGAAATTAAGTGAAACAGTACTGCATAAATTAAATTGAAGCTTTATTTGGTGCCAGTCCCAAACACATTTTGTGAACATTATTAGGGCTAATCCACTCAGAGCTGATGACACTTCAGGAAATTTTTCAGATACTGCATGCTCAAAAAGCAGGGAGATGTCATGAGCCCTTAAAAAAATATTAGTGTGAGGAATGCCAAATCCTTTACACGCCTGATTTGTTGGCAACAAGGCTGGTTTCAGGTAGCCGTGGTTCTCTGAAAAGCCAAACATGTCACATAATGACACATCTACGACCTTTCAAAATTGTATTCTTCATAAAATAGGGGAACTGATGTTGCACAGGTTTTTTTAAATTGCATGTTAAAATATCACAAAGTCACCAAGAAGTCACAATTATTTGAGCAAAAATATCAAGATTTACATATGTATATGTATGCCATCACAGGCCCAATTTAGCTGCATATTTCTGCCAGTATGCTTACAGTACATGAATACAGGATAGTGTAATATCAAAGTATCATGTTGTTATATTATTCAGTACACTGGAAAAGTCCATGTTGTTGGTAAAAGAAGGCACATGGCCTACAAGTGAGACAGTTGCATTGGAGCTATGATTCTGTCTTAAAATTTCCCTTTCTTCCAAAATGTGGTGTCCTCCACAATGTCCACCTAATTGCACCTCAGGTCAAAGTCAAACATGTTTATTTAGCCCCAACCAAGCTGCTGGGCCACTCTGAGCCCTGGGGACAACCCAGACCTGTGATTATGGTCAATTATCTTTAATAAAGCCTTGTGTAATTGAGTCATATTAATACCCCTCTGTTCTCTGCAAACAGGAAGTAGTAGCCAGACTCCCAAGACGCCTCGACCTACAGAGGTGAGGCCAAGCCATGATGCAGTCATTCCCCCCTCCTGCAGCCAAATTAGGCTGCAGAGTAGGTTAGAGGCCAAGATGATTACACCAATTTTCCAGCTCATGGACTTCATCATATAGTGAGTCAGGCAGCATTGCTATGTGAAATAAATCCACAAGTATAGTGCATTCACAGCCCCATTTATTTCAGTTCCTTGTTACCATGCCTTCTAATGCTTTATGTTGAGAGGCGGCAGCCAGTCAGACATTTGATTCTGTCACACTGTGTTTATGATTAAAATAGAGGAAGGAAAAACTCAAGTGGAAAGAAAATAAACCTGGAGGCCTGTTGATTATGCTTCAATGCCCGCCATTTGATTCCTCAATAAACTTAGTATAAAAACAACAAATCACATTCCATGTCACTCCACACCGAAATCCGATCAAATTTGCGCTGCACACAGTGTTAGTGTTTCGCCCTCTGAGGAGTTAATTTAAAACAACGTGGGGGCTCTGTTTTCAATACTGTATTGTGAGCAGCTGTTCCAAACTTGCAGTGGGAATGAGGGGTATGTGTAGTGGTTTTGGGCAGGACAGATATTAAATTCATCACACTTGCAGCAAGAGCAGGAGGAGTATGTCTGCAACCAGATACGT